TGAGTTCTGTGAGGACAACAGGAATAGGCCTGAGTCACTAAATGAGCAGCTACCAAATCCAGACAATATCTTCTTGTCAATGTGTATGATTGCAATTGTAATCATGTTCTAAATATGAACACATCAAAAGCATCCTGACCTTTCTACCATGAAATTACTTTGAAATATTTTAGGGCATTTTGGTTTTAAAGCTAACTCACATTCTGCCTCAAAAGGCTGCCTGTAAGTGAAAAAAAAAAACAAAAAAAACCAACCCAAACCCTAGGCTTGTTTAGAACAGGATGAAAACAGAGAAGTTTGCTGCCTTGAAAACTAGATAGATCTGAGTGTTTGGGATACCTCCCCTTTGCTAAACTTAGCCCTTCTGTGACCCTCAGGGAGGAATGCAAGACCTGTCTACGTTATCAAGTTTATAAGGATTACACTTTAGCATAAACAACAGATCATTTCTGAACTTCACTCTAAAAGTCAAATTCCTGACCATTTCTCAATGCCACTCTGCTATGTTCCTCTCTCTTAGTCCCCCCTTTTTTCTTCGTGTTTGGTGAATGTGAGACTATTAGATTCCTGACCACAAAAGAAATTACTTCTCCCGCTCACACTAAAAGCTTGCCACTCAAACCGCTGACAAATCCTCCCACATTTTTCCACCTTTAAGTCTGAGTACATCAGTACACTTTGCTGAATATTTCCCATATTGCTCATTAAAATAATTGGGGTTTGTGCATGTCTGGCAGGAGGAAAATAAAACTCACCAAGAAATACTTTATTTCTCAAATATATTATTTAAAATATAGTTTGTTTGTTCTACTTGTTTCAGCATTTAAATTAGATTTAAGGATCAGAATGACGCAGATTTACAATTTAAAAAACCATACTGATGGTCCTATAGCACTTGTGGCAACAGAAACTAGCATTAAGACTATTATTTGCTGAAGGTTTCTTTTTTTGGGCTACAGCTTTTCAAGTTCAGACTCATCGGTTGAAGTGAGGGAAAAATCTCTTCAGCTATTTTTGTTACAGGAAAATACTACTTCACCACTGGCTCGGGAGGGGGGCAGGGGGACGATGAACCAGAACCTCCTGATTTGTCCCATAGATCATCCTTCAAGACAAAGAGCATCTTTGCTAATTATAGAAAAAAAATTTAAACTAGGAGCAGTTGAAAAACTGTTTCTCAGCATGCTCAGTGGGCATTAGCTGCGATTTCAGCAGCTTAGCAAGTCCCACCCCTGTGTGAGCTCAGCAGGGAGGCCTGGAGCACTGCACATTCTCCCTGCTCAGCAGGGACAGGGGCTGCAGCTCGGCTGATTTGCTACAGGAATACTGGAAAATTGCCACCAAAATAGCAAATCCTGTGGAAAAAAAACCAACCCTAACCAAGATCCCCCAAGCAACTTCAATAAGGAATTAAAAGGAAAAAGTGGAAAAAAACCTCAGCTCCCACAGTTTCAAAATGCTGAACTCTTGCTGCATTATGGTCTGGGGCTTTTTCCATGATCAAAATAAGCAAAAGGTTTAGGTTAAGCCAGATTTATACAAACCCACCCCTAACAATGCAAGTGCAAACTTACAGTGCACTAACTCTTGCCACAAGTCGGTCATGGGAGCCAAAGACTGGCTGTAGAATCTGTAACAGCTGTAATACCCATAGCTATTTTTCTTTTAATTTGCAAGAGGGAAAAAAAAAAGCCAACTAAACAGACATGTAAAATACAACACAATTTTTATTTTAAAATCAAATAGCAGCTGAAGTTTCATAGAGGCAACTGAGACTTAACAGCTCACACGCTATACACTTAAGCACATTTAACATTTCAACTCAAGCACTGCTACTACATCTTGTACACATAAAGAACAGTTTCCCTATTGCAATCTTTCTCATACACTGCACACAACACAGCATTTCATTGGCAAAATTTCAGAGTTACACACACAAGCAGCACCAGAGTAAAAACACAAATGTGCTTTTGTAATACAGTAATAATGTCATGAGAACAATGATTTTTGAATTTTCAAACCTCTAAACAGTCATTATGTTTGTTTTAATATTGCCAGAATAGATAGAAACATTTTTATCTCATCACATCATTCAACACAAGTTTGTAAAAGTCTGATCATCCAAAATGGGAGAAAGTACAGACTGGACAGATTAATAAATTACACATCTGGGACATCACACATTTAGTTCTCCCTTGCACACTTTGCACCTGGAACTTTGAATTAAAAATGTTGGGGTTTTTTTTACTTCAAGGAACATTTGGAAAATTTAAATCCATGATTGCTGGTTGGGTTTTTTCCCCTCCAGAAAAAAAAGAACATAACTTCTGCATGTTCTGAGATTCCAGTTCAATGCCATCCCTTTCCTGTGTTTTTTCAACTTTGACCTGTTAAGTTTTAAAATAAAATCTTGTGGTAACTGAGGCTCTTTTTAAAAAGTGATTCAAACGTACATGGGATTTCATCACCCCACCTTGCAGTAGGGAAATATCAGACAACATTAGCTAAGGAATATTACTTTCAGGTCACTTGGGATTTGACAGTAAAATGAAGAGCCAGGGCCTTGTCAAAGCAGTGCCAGTTATCCAACAGAATGTGAGGCAATGGACCAATTCCCCATTATAACCTACAGAGAGACTGTAAACAACCTACAGAGAGACTGTAAACAAAGACTAAAGGGCCATGAAGATCACTTTCTGTATTTCATTAAAACAAGGAGCCGTTTTCATACTCACAAAATTCAGAGTTCAGTACTGGTGTCATGTCACTCCAGGTTAGGCAGCAGATGACACCTCCAGCCCCAGAGACTGATGTGTTTTAGGGGGGTTAAAAAGTTGCTCACCCCACCTTGTGAGGCAATTTGTGTGCTACAGATCCTCAAATATAAAAGCTACTCAGAGTTTGGCATCTAGCACATGATTGCTGCCAGTCAAGCGGATTTAAGGGCATATCTTAATCTCTCTCACATTATTCTGGTCCTGGAATTTTTTGCTTCGAGCTCATAGTAATTCTGAGTTGGGTAACTCAGGCCAGGGCAAGGGGCTCCCCATGCTAGGTGTTAGTTTACAAAGATGGCAGTGTTTTCTAATGCTAATGTGTTCCCATGCTGCATACCTCGACTAACAGTTTCATCTCTAACAAACGCACTGGAATATGCTGATAGCTCTAACTCGACAGCACAATATCACACAGACAGGGGCCAGTGCCAAATGGTTAGTTAAGCAGATAAGAAAGGCACTCATTCTTCCTTTAAAAAAAAAAAAAAAAGGAAGCTATTGCAGTCAGGCAGACAGAGTGTGGATGGGAGCTGGCAGATTCCACAATACAGAGTCACGTCAAAAATGGCCTCCTGCAAACTGTTCCTTCAAGCATTTGAGTCAACCGAAAGGGAGGAATCTTTCCCATTATCCCCAGGAGTTTTACCTCCCTATTCCACAGCAGAGCAACATTTCCTATACATTCTGACATAAAAGCATGTAAGAAGCTCAGAGAATAAATTGTACTCTGCAGCAGAGGAAAACTCCTCTCCCCACTTTCTACTTCCAGTCCTAAAGTTGAGTCGGGACTTTATTTTGACAGTTCCCTGGTCTGTGAATGGAAAATCCCTCCTCAGCACTAGCAGGCTGGTGTCTGCTGCACACACCCACTGCACACAGCAGAAATTCCAGTCAATAAGGCAAGTGGGGCCCAGGCGCTGGGAGGGGAGGAAGGAGACATACAAACAATAAGAAAAGCATCTGGCTCTGTTACTGGCTGGGAAGGAGACTGGAGTTCAAAAAAGACACAACTGCAGCTTCACTTCACAGGAAGATCATATCAATTCTTGCTGCCCTACTTTTCACACAGACCAAAATATGTGGAAAGGGTAACCTGGGGCTTCCAGCCCACACTTTAATGCAATTCCATTAACTCAAGAACGGTGATAAAACCCACCTTGGATATTTTTGTCCCACAGGCCCAAAACATATCCCTGCTTCTGCTTTAGGCCTGTGGAAACAGCCCAAAAAGTAAAGTCCTTTGCTGAACATGAGTGAGCCATCCCTCTACCACCACACTAATGGAGGCTGCTCTGCTGTCCTTCCCTGGAGATAGCAGCCAAGTCTAGTGAAGCTTTTCTCATAGCAACCAGAGCTCCAGAGCCAACAGCAGCTGCTGTCACTGCCTTCAACGCTTACCCACAGGATCCAGAGCACAGCAACACCCTCCTCCCTGCACCTCTACAGCAAAAAAAAACCCTGAATGCCGGCAACAAGATGACTTCCTGGGTCAACCACAAGAAGAAGAAAAAAAGAAATCCTAGTATTTCCTATACAAGTGAAAAGAGGAATCTCTGATTATTTAAAAAAAAAAGAAATTCCTTTTTTGGATTTAGATTCTGGCAGCAACACCCAGTCAGGGTGGGGGCAACTGCCTGAAATCCATAATGTACCAGCACACCATCAGACACCAACATCAAGTTCTTCCCTCACCCAAGGAGAGAGATTCGCCCCCGCCGTACCCCCAACGCTCTCATTACATCATGGCCCGAGTCCGCAGCAGCCACAGGAGCCCTGCAGCACCCCGTGACCTCTCCAGCCCCGCAGAACACGCTCTTCCCCCCCCAACAGCGCGCCCAGGAGCTCAGCTGGTGTCAGAGGAACACGAGGACACGGCCGGGAAGGGGCTGCGAACCCCCCTCGCTGCTACACCCATCTGCCCCGCTTCCACGGGGCCACACGCGGCCTCGCCTCTCTCCCTCCCCGAGGACGGCGAGACACTGCCCGGCGCCGCTTCCCCGCCCGGCCCGGCGGTGAACTCCGGTCACCGGCAGGCAAGGACGAGCCGCCGGTCGACAGTGACCTTGCCGGTGCCGTCGGGGGTCGGAGCGCGGGCAGCGCGGCGGGGAACCCCCCCTGCGCCGGCGGCGGCCGCGGTGACGGGCGAGGAAATGCGGGAGGATCCGCGCTGCAGCCGCCGGCGCCGGGAGCGGGGGTTACGGAGGAAGGCGCCGCGCGGGCACCATGAGAAAGCAGAAAATGCAGGTCAAACACCGCCTCCACCGAGGCCTGGAGGGGCCGGCGGTTCGGGGCGGGCAGCCACAGCCCGGAGGCTGCCCCGAGCCGGACGACGACCCCCGCGGCCCCTCGGGACAATGCGAGGACACGGGGGCGCGGAGAAGGCCGGGCTGCAGCGGGGCTTCCCCGGCGCTCGCCTTCACCGACAAAGCCCCGCGGCCGCTCCAGCCCCAACTCCGGCCCCGGCACCGCACCGGCCGCCAGCGTCCCGAGCCCGCGCACCGCCGGGCCCGCCATGATGCCCGCACACCGCGCCGGACCGGGTCAGCTCGGGCCGAGCCTCCGGGGGCACGGCGGGGCGCTGCCGACCGGGCTGCCACGGCAGCGCAGAGCAGAGCGTCAGACCGCGGGCCGCGCAGGAACCCCCGCGGCCGTCCGCCCAGCCGCCCGCCCCAGCGTTCCCTCCCGCCGCCCGGTACGGCCGGTTCCCGCCTGCCCGCGCCTACCTGGCCGGCCCGTTCCCCGGGCCCCTGCGCGGCACCAGGCCCGGCTCGGCGCCACGGCGTGTCCCGGGCAGCCGGCGAGAGCGAGCGCTCAGCCGCGGCAGCGGCGGCCCCTCCCCCGGCGGCAGCGGCGGCTTCTCCCCGGGCCGGGCGGAAACGGCACTGCCCTCACGGGGTCCCGGCGGGGCCGCCCGGGGCCGGGACCGCCCCTCCTCGGGCCGCCGGGGCCAGCGCTCCCACAGCTGGCCGGGCGCCGTCCCTGGAGCCCCGAACAAAGGCCGCGGGGCAGTGAGGCGGAGGGACGGCCCCTCCGCGGTAGGAGGGGCGGCCGAGCCGGGCAGGAGGGGCCCCTCGGTGCTCGGCCGAGGGGCTCCGCCCGGTTCCGGTGCCCGCAGTGAGCGGTGCGTGCGGTCCGCAGCGCTGCGGGGCCGCGGGAGGAAGGGAGCGGAGCTCGGGCGCGGAGGGGCCGCGGGTTCGCGCCGGGGCTGCGCAGCCGCGCCGCCCGCGGGAGGGCGGTGCGGTCGCTGCGGTAGCTCGGTGCCGTGAGGCGGGGACAGCCGGCTCGGTCACGGCGCGGCGATCCAGGCGTGCCGCAGGCTCTGCGAGGCGCTGGCGCGGCGCTCGGGCGCGTAGTGCAGCGCGGGCAGCAGGAAGGCGGCGAAGGCGGCCGCCTCCCGCGGGCTCCAGCCGTGCCGGTCCGCCAGGATGCCGGGGAGGCTGCGGGGAAGGAGCCGGGAGAGCCGCAGGAGCGCGCCTGGCAGAAACAGCGTGGGCACAGCGCCTCAGTCACACCTGCGCGGCTGAGGCGGCCGCGCCTCGCCTCAGAATTAACCCGAGGCATCCCGAAAGATCTTTGCCTTCTTCTTGGAATTATCTCTGTAAGCTCCACCTGAGCTGCCCCTTTGCAGGTTTGGCTTTCGGGTGCTTCTCAGGAACCACCTTTTCAAGCTGGTGTTTGGAGTCTCTCTGTTCCTGAGTACTTTCCTTAGGTGAGAATGTGCCAAGAGTGCACAAAGTGTTCCCAGAATAACCACGCCAGAGCCATTGCTGCTTGCTCCCTGTGCCTGCCCACAGGCACCCGGATGCATCATGCTATTTCAGTGTCAGAGCTCGCAAGACTCTTGTTGAATTTGTTACATGCCAAGCAGCTCTGTGGGGCCCAGCAGAGTGTAGCAACCCTCATCCTGGCGAGTGCATGGTGTAAATACAGTGATTCAAGTCAGGCATGTGTGGTCAGGCCAGGGTGGTTCACAGGGACAGTGAATGTAGAACTAGTTTTGACTAATTTCTTTCAAGAACCATAGAAGACATAAGTGTGAGCAAAGGATGTGGATATGCAGGGAGGTACTGGTTAAATTCCAGCATGGGACCAGTACTAAGCACTGCATGAACTGTGGGTAGGCTGGTGAGCATGAAAGCAGAGAAGGATGGTAGGCCAAATTGCAGAAGGGTGGAGTCATGTGATGCCTTGTGGTCAAAGAAGGGTTTCAAGACTCATGAGTCAAAGGGAGAGGAACTGGGGAGAATAAAACAGAAGAGATGTTGCAGTTGGGTCAGAAGCCTAAATATAGCAGCCACATTGGAAGGATATGAGTGTCCCATTCCTGGGCATCATTGTTCTCTGTCAGTGACTGGGTGAAGTGCAGCCTGTTACACACTCTTCAGCCTTCCTGGCATGGAACTGTTTCCTGTCTGCATTTCCATTTTCTCCAAATCCAAAGGAGAAAGAATGGAAATGCTTTCCCTGTTCAGTGTTTGCTATGACCATTTTTCAGGATTGTGCATTCATCCCTGGAATGCTCATGGATTGCAGAGTAGGCAGGGCAGGGAGTGTTACTGCTCTTTATGAAGTTTCCATTTGTGTTCCATCCCTGCTTGTAGCCTGCATTGTGTGAGTAACTTTTGGGGGAGTTCAGCATGAGCTGAGTAGGAGTGTGTCAGAGATCTGCAGTGATTTTTAAAATAAACTTCCTTATGCCAGTTCTTACCTGGCCTGCTGAAAAATTTTGTTGACTTGTTCCATGAGAAAACAATCTGAGGAGGAATTCTTCCCAAGAGTTCAATAATACGAGCAACATGATCTAGATGGAGGGAGGGAAGACAAATTTAGATACAGACTGTGACACTTCTGTCAGTGAAATGAATAAAACTCATGGAGTCCTACCATCATCTCTGGAGAAATATTTCCCAGGTTGAGGATCAAATAGACGCTCTCCAGTTGCCATTTCAAATGCCTAGAAATGGAGTAGCACTGTTAATTCACTGATTGTCTTGGAGTTTTCCTTGCCCACTAACTGATACTGCCCTCTTTATCACACAAAACTGGTCCTAAAATGTGGAAATACTCACACTGGCTTGATCTGTACCGCAGTGAAACAACACCTTTATCTCCATCAGGATGAAAAGCAGCATGTGCCTGATGCAGGCAAGCCTCTGAGCTAATCTACATGGAGTGTGAATTGCCTTAGAGCTTAAACTAAATTAGGAGTGGGTCGTACCAGCAGCAGACTTTTGCCCTAAAGTGAACGAGTGCCAACAGCCCCCTTTGCCTTCTCCGAAAGGAAGCTTTCTTTACAGGGATGCTCAGGACATGCTGCCCCGGCCAGCTATGGCCTGTCCCCTCCCCAGTGCTGTCCCCAGCCCTACCAGGCAGGCTGTACTCCAGATATCCGCAGGAGTGCCGTAGTCTAATCCAAGGAGCACTTCCAGGGCCCGGTACGGCTGCGTCTGTATCTCCTTGGAAAAAGGCTTGTACTAAAACAGTAAAAACTCCTTAAACAGCCACAGCAGCACTGGTGGTCACAAGCTTCTTGTGCGGTGACAGGACATTGGGGACACAAATGGATGTGTGTTCTCAGCTCTGTGCAGGGCACAGCCAGCACATTCCTGCCCCACTGACACCAGTGGGAATCCACCTCTCACCATTTCACACTGAACATAGTTTTAAATTTCTCATCGTAGGGACTAACTGCAAGCTGGAGAAATGTCCAAAACTGACAGTGGCTCAAGGAAGACCGTGCACATCTTGGAGCTGAGAGTGGCAAACATAACAAAACTCCCCAATATTGGCATCTCTGAAATAGCTGTTCAGCTGTAAAGGGACAGACAGACACAGTGTGGGATGGAAAGGAGCACACAACATCACACATTGTCACAGGATTGAGACTTGGAGCAGACTCACTGTCCAGCATGCGCTTCCTAGATCTGCAATTTTCACCTCTATGCTCATTAAATCAGATTCTTCCAACTGATTGCCAAGATCACCTCCTAGACGGGAAGGACAAAGAGAAATCAGGTCTTTCTGAACCAGCAGGTACACACCACTTACCACAGGAGAGGTATGTCTGCCTTCCCTTAAAGTTTCTTGGCCTAAAAGCTCCTAAATACTTTTTATCGTAAATCAAATGCCACCCCTCTTTTTTTAAGGAACACAAAAAAAGACCTGGTATCCAGTAAAACATGAGAGAATGGGAGAACAGTAGCTTGGAGTGGAACAGTGTGACCATAGGCTCCTGTCCTGCTGCAAGGTTAAATTACTGTGGGCCCAGAGGAGAGCACCAGTCAGAGCCCAAGCATCTGTAATTCCCCCTCAGCCTTCAGCAACCCTGGCTGTCACAGACCTTGGATACAGCCTGCTTGGCCAGCAACATGGACCTTATGCTTCCATGTGATCCCAGGAAAAGGTAATTCCTGGTTTAGTGCCTTACAGTGAGCTGTCAGTCTATGCTTAATAGTGTGCTTTTCTGCTCCAAGCAAAAGACTCGGTCACTAATTTAGCATTCCCTGATTGCCCCAGAGTTTGAGAGACAAAACAACACTGTCATGGGAGAAATGCTCACAGGAGAACACAGTGCAAGGATAATATGAAAGGCCTCATTGCTGGGAGATGAGATAATCTCTCGAGAAACTCTGCAGCCCTACATCTTATTCAATTCAATATTCACACCATTCTGTGCACATAAATTATGTCTCAGAAGGCCTTGAAGATTAGCAGCACATACAAGTCTCCCACAAACCTCAGAAATGAGGGAAATAAAGAGCAGGAGTGTCATACAGCTTTCTGATCAAGCCTTTTTGTATGTAAACCTTTCAGCAGCTGAAAACATCAGATACATGGAATTGTCCTGGACCTCAAGCCTTGAGAGTGAGCTCCGAGGTGGTGGTGGGGCTGTTAACAGATATCTGTGACCTGTAGCTGTCCTTCACACAAACCCACCTGCAGGACCACACTTCTGTAGGTGCCTTGAGCCCAGCCTGGTGTTTGTGCTAAGCAGAGAAAGGAGAGGCCTTTCAGCAGCATAAGCTGGCTATAATGTTTTATACTGGCTGTCATGTTTTGTACTGGCTGTTGTAGGAGATGTGAACCTTTCCTAAGGCATCTGTACCTGCTGCCTCTCATTTCTCTCCTGCCAATAAACACCTAAGTCCATTTTTTTGTTAAAAAAGCCCTGGAGTGCTCACCTGCTCCCTTTAGCCTCCCTTCAGTTCCCTGGTGGCAGTCGAGTGCAGCCGTGAGAAGCCTTTGGAGGCCTTTGCTGTGCCCATGGAGCAGGATGTTCTCTGGTTTGATGTCTGCGTGGATGATGCGGCAGCACTCGTGCAGGAAATGCAGCCCTGCCAGCACCTGGCAATGAGGCAGCACTGTCACAGTGTCACAGCAGCCCTGGCAGGGTCCCCACCACCTCTCCTGCCCCAGCAGCTGCCAGAGCAGGCAGGCACAGCGGGAGTGCAAGGCAGGCACAGTCAGGCACTGGTGGTAACCCCTGGCAATGAATGGTTTGCTGGGGGGGTGGCCTATGGGAGCAGGCACAAGGGGTTCATCACCCCACATGACAGCAGAGCCCCAGGAGCAAGGGGAGGCCTGGACAGCCCAGTGAAGAAAGGGGTGTTAGGGGTGACACACAGCAAAAGTGTCAATCAGCACAGTGTGACAATCCACAGGTACCAGCACAGATGGGCAAGCCCAGGGAGGTGGGAGGAGGATGGGGCTATGAGGAGGCTATTATGATTACAAAGCTGAACTTTCTTCTGAAAAAACATTCTTGTTTGGATGGCTGTTGTGTCCTGGGACCTCTGTGCCTTGCCACTGATTATAACCAGCCCCCAACTTCCATTTGAATGACAGTGACATGTAAAGGGACTGGTGTTAATGACAGGCATGGGAGGGTGTCCCATCATACAAGGAAAGAAGGAGACACAGGATAACACAGACAGGAGGGGGAGAGACCATGAGTGAGTGCAGACAGAGGATTTCAGGGCCCTGCAGGAGAGCCATGTAGGGAAAGAAAAGCTTGTGATGCAGCAGGGAGAGCCTGGCCTGTCACAGGGGAGAAATAAACAACACCTTCCAGAGATGAAGACTCACTATCAGAAATCAATAACAGAGAAAAGGCTATGGGGACATTTAGGTTTGTTTTTTAACACTCTGGTCAGTCATAAAGGATTGGTAAATATTCTCTGTATTATCAAATTCTATTCTGGGATGAACACCAGCCCCAGGGAAATATCAGCCTTAAATGGTAACTGTGAAATGTGGGGAAAGATTTAAATAACTAAACTGGAATGAATCAGAGGTAAATACTGCCCCAGTGCTGTTCTGAAGGGGGAAAACAGAACTGAGATTCTACAATTAAAGCAGATAATGTATCAGCAAAAGACTGAGTATCAAATAGAGCACAGAGGTAATGCCACTACATTTTTGTGTAATACTCAGGTGTTAGTGGAGCTTCTTTAGAGAAAGGAGAGGCTACTACAGAAAACAGGATGAAGGAGGAAGCAATTTTCTTTCTTAGTATCCCTAGAAGGGCACAGGAATCAGGGTAGCAAATCTTCATCTTGGCAAGTGTGCAGACTTCTGATGAATCTCAGCACGAGAGGCAAAAAGTAATTTTAACTATTCAGGGGCCTCACTCAGGTTTCTCATTCCTTAAGAAGAGCCAGCCCTGAAGAAATTTTTCACCATCTTTTAAATAGGCACAACACATCCTTACAGTGGATGAAGGAAAAGTTGGCTCTGCACAGGGAAACCTCAGCATGGAAAGAGAACCAGCTGACCAAATCAGCAATTTAGAAATTCATGTGGAGATGGGAGGGAGACCTTGATCAGCCTTCATGGGTACCATGCAGAAAGCTGCTGGAGCTGACAATGGATGCCACAGCTGGATGCCAAGGCAAATGCCAGCAGTCTGCCATTACTGCCAGAGGGGACTTCTCTGGGCAGCAGGAGGGCAGACATGGTTTGCCCACAAGAAGTAGAACTATGGCAGGCTGTTTGTCCCCTGCTAGGTGTATGAGCAGCAGATAACCCAGTAATTACTGAGCTGATGGGAACAGAAGTACCAGTCCTGACTCCCTGGTGTACATCTGCAGGCTTGTGGCACTTTGTGGCCCTGACTCCTTCCCAAACCTGAGGAGGCTGCAGGCTTAGGCAGTAACACCCAAGTCCTTCCCCTTGGGAGGAAGACTGTGGCATGTCCCACATGCCCCTTGGCACCCTTGCCTGATTGCAGCTAAGTTCTCACCTGCTGTAAAGACCTTTTCACAAAAGGCAAGGGCAGTCCCTGGGCTGTGTAGTTTCCCATCAGACATCGAATGGAAGGACCCAGCACCTCAAATACCAGGCAAGAATGTGGGAAGGAGTTAGGGATTCACTAACGGGAAAGGTGTTACCACCAACCCTCTGCCTTTCACCAGGGCAACCAAATACCTCCTGATTCAGCCTCTCCCCTCCAGCCATGCCCATGTGCCCTGGTCCAGCTGCAGCCCTGCTCATCCTCCTCATGGCAGCACAGCACTCAGGTTTACACCATCCTTTCTGGCCCAGAAAAGCACTCTCCTCTGAAGGATATGGAAACCATTCTCTCCAATCATTCTGAAGTCGTCTAACAAAGAGACGATGTTTTCTCCTGCCAGGTCCTTCTTCTTCATGCAGCTTACCTGAGGGGGAGGATTCCAAGAAAGCTGCAATCAGAGACATATATGTGCACAAGGACACTTTGCACCTGTTTTATCCTGTCTGACAGACTTTCTCTTCTGGCACTTTGTGACAAATCCCATGAAAACAACATCAGGAATACCAGCAGTGAGTTTCTATATGTTTTGTCTTGCTCTTGACGAGGTGGGACCATCACACCCTCAGTGTCAAAACAACTCACACCAATCCTGCTGATAGTATCTAGCACATTTCCTGCTGCTTATTCTCTCCAGGCAGACCCAGAAAGTGCTCCTGCTTGTGCTGGAAGGGGATTCCCCCAAGAAGACAGCTCCCTGCTCCCAGCATCAGTGACTGTCCATTTCCTTTGCCTCACACCAGCCCTTTGGCAATTAACTCAAGGGGTTGCAGAGAGGCGGAGGCATTATGGCTGCCTTTGGCCACTCAAATGCTACTTGTCATATCAGGGTAGAGAGCAGCTTCCACATCTGGAAGAACTCAGTGAAGGGGGCTTCTTTGTGCTGGAAAAGGGTTGGCTGTGGGCAAGTGATCAATGGGATATGGAGGGGTGGTGGAGGAGGTGAACACACCCTTTGTGCTAGAGCCAGGGGCCTTCAAACCCAGCACATAGTAGGTCCAAAAACACCAGAGATGGTTCTTCACAGAGCACATGGGTGACTGGGGACTCTTCTTGTTACAGAGGCCTGTGGTTACTGAATCTCACAGGGACTTGTAAGGGTTCAAGATAAATCCACTGAGTTCCTGCCCACAGGGATCATCCTTGGCCTGAGAAATCTGTGGCTAGAAACTGCAACAGGCCAGGGGAGCATTCAGTGGGAGCAGCACCCTGTGCTCAGTTTGTCCTTACACCCACCTGGACATGTGCTGTTGGCCCAGGGTCCTGTGCTGAGGGAACGTCCAGGCACAGGTGCTACAGCACCCCCAGCACCACACACCTGTGTGACAAGGAGCACCAGGGGTTTGCTCTCCCAGAGCACTTATCCTGGTACAGCAATTCATGCTGGTTTTTTCTCTCTTCATGGCCACAGCTGCTAGGGTTTTGGTTTGGTTCACTTTGCAGATACCAGATCCACCTGCACCAGTGCCAGAAGGTTTGTTCTGGCACAACACAAGAGAGCAGCCCTGAAAGCAGAGACCAGATCATCTCTTCTGGCAGCTCTGCAGGCACTAAGCCCCAGTGCTGGTGGGAACAAGCCTTGGGAACCAGCTGTGTGCTGCTGAATGGGCAGGCATGTCTCTCAGAATTAATAATAAATCAGGGGTAAGGCTCACTCTCTACACAGGGTTGTGCTGATGTGTGGAAAAGCAGCCCTCTGATTACATTAAATTAGTGCCACTTGGTACTTCCTCTTGCATCACTGCATCTGGCTCATCTCCCTTTAGATAGGGCCTACAGATTTACAGGTGTTAACTAAACCTTTCCCAAACCTGTTGGAGAAAGGCCACAGAGTAATTTAAAATGCAGAATTTAATAGCTTTTACTCATCTGAAGCTGATGTAACTTTGTATTTGAACAAACTTGAAGAATTGTAACCACAAGCTTTCTAGAACTAGCAGTTCCAGACAACTTCAAAGGCAACTTGCTACAACCCAGATACAGGCACCTAATTATCACCTCCATTAGCAGAGGCCAGAAGCTTTCTGACTTCAGATGTTTATTGTGTTTGGGTATGTCATATATTTTTCTATTGCAGATAGTTCCTTTTACTTCAGTATCAGTGTTCTGATACAGCAATGTCCTGAGTGATGTTCCTCTGTAAATTATACAGGTACAGTAGACATGTTCCTATCTCCTGCCTAAGAGCATTACCACCTTCTTCTGTTGATTATCCACCTTATCATTCTGCAGATTCCTCCTTTTTGCTGGATTTCAGTCTCAGCTTAAAGAAAAGTGGGACATGTCTCAGTGTGATGCAGGAAGGAGAAAATGCCTGTTTCAGAGTCCAGTCCTGAGCTAGGCTGATTTCTATGAATTCCCCAGCTTTCAGGTTGGTTTTTTTTTTCCTATTCCCCACCTAGCTCCGTGGACTGAGAGCAGGCAGAGGGGATGATGAGGCTGATACTCAAACCTGAACTCAGTGGCCATCTGCTGGAGCAAAGCACAGACCCACAGGATATACTCACACAGCGGAGGAAAGCCACCTCATCCTGGGCAGTGTCAGCAAAGCCTTCCCTGCTTTTCAGAACCTTCACAGCTACCTGCTTCTTCCTCCTGGGAAACGAGCCACAGCTGTCAGCCAGTGCATGTCAGTGGCCCTGACCAGCAGCACTTCCCTTTTTCCCAGTCAGCCAGCCCTGGACTCCCCAGGGAAGGTGCTGCCCTTCTGCAGGCACCCTTGGCTTGGTTTGCAGCACACCAGGCCCATGGGCATCCCTCCTGCTGGCATCTGGCAGCACAACTTCCCCAGGGACCAGCAAGGGACTGGAGAGAAAAAGAACATGGATACTGCAGAGTCTAAACAAGAAAAGAAAATGCAGAGCGAGGGCTGATCCCACTTCATTTATATTCTTTGATTTCTGGGGACCAGCTCTGCTCGTTGCACCCCACTGATCTTGCTGTCAGGTTTTCCCTGTGCTCAGGGGTGCCTGGCATGCTCCCAGACTGTGCTCTGCTGTTTCTGCAAGAGGGGCCAGCCCTGCCAGGACATCAGCCACCCCTTCCCACCTCCCTGAATGGCACTCAGCCCCTCACCTCATGTCCTGGCACAGCCAGACAGTGGCAAAGGTGCCACATCCCAGCTTGTGCAGCACCTGGTATCGCGTGTTGAGCACCTCTCCCTCCTGCACAGGCTGGTGGCCTCCTGTGGAAAACCATCACCAAGAGATATTAATGACATCTCTAAATGCTCTCAGACTGAACGAGCAGCTGAGGACAGCCTGACAGGTCCCAGTGGCCTCCTCTAGCCTGGGAAGAGCCTGGCATGATCTCATCTCTGGAGCCTCATGGCCAAGGACTGACCTGTGTGCTGGGCTGATGGCATCTCCTGCTGCACCTGCTCCTCCATGGCCCTGGAACATGGCAGATCCTGGCACAAGGGGATGGAGGCAGTGGGACACCGAGCTGTGGGAGCTTCAGCGCTTCATTCCTTTCAAGAGAGATGGAGAGCTGCAGGGTGGCCATGCCTCTGCTGTGCCCTCACCCCTTTCCTTCCCATTCCCTTCTGCAGCTCTTGGAGTCAGGCTGTTACACTTTTGGCACTTCAGGGAGACAGGGATTATTTTAAGAGTTCAGAAGAGGAAAGCTGGCAGGCTGGTCCCAGGCCAGGGCCAGGTGGGAGTCTCAGGTTTCCTAGTGTGTATTTTCAGGGGCTTAGCGGGGTCTGTGGGATCCCCTCCCACAGCCAGGGGAAGCACCTCCTCCCTACCCCCATCCTGGCTGAGGAGGGAATTTGGGCTTTGGCTGGCAGGAGAAGGCTCCTGCTCCAGAGGGGTGTGAAACAGAACCTGCATTCTAAACACTACAGTGCTGCTCCTCTCCCACAGTCCAGCCCTGGGGCTGGAGCACGGGTTTGTCACTGACAATCGTGTGACATCCCAGCAAGGCCACAGGACATCCTGGCAAGGGGCTGCTCATGGGGTTTGTTACTATGACAGTCCAAAGCATAAACACCAAGACAGCCCAGACAGACTGATCCAACTGCTGTCCCCCAGTGCTGCAGCACTGAGGTAGGACTGGATTCAGTACTGGTCACCTGAAATAGCAGCCCAGAGCTCTTGTTGCTAATGAAATACAGATTGAAGCCACAGTAGCTGCGGCACTCCCAACCCAGCCTTTTATAATTTCCAAATGTCACTTGCAGTACAGCTGAAGCTTCAGGCTAACACACACTGTCAGAGCTCGAGACAGGTGATAGTAATGCCCATAGAGCATTATCACAGGTAGAAATATTGAACTTTAAATCCTCCAAATCAGGTCACTAAAGCTCAGAACTCATCTGAACCAGAAGATTTTCAGAAATAGAGGGCTGGCAGTGCTGGTGGCAGGGAGTTGTTCTGGAGCTGTAACATCTTCCAGCTGCTGAGACAGAGAACCTGTTTTGACTCAATGTTTTGACTTCCTCAAAACATTGAAGTTTCTTTCCATGTGCTGATGTTCCTCTCCCAGCACAGCAGCCAGAGGCACAGCTTGCCTTTGGGCACCCAGCAGGCTCCCAATCAAGGGCATTAGCACAGGTAGAAATATTGAACTTTAAATCCTCCAAATCAGGTCACTAAAGCTCAGAACTCATCTGAACCAGAAGATTTTCAGAAATAGTTATAGAGGGCTGGCAGTGCTGGTGGCAGGGAGTTGTTCTGGAGCTGTAACATCTTCCAGCTGCTGAGACAGAGAACCTGTTTTGACTCAATGTTTTGACTTCCTCAAAACATTGAAGTTTCTTTCCATGTGCTGATGTTCCTCTCCCAGCACAGCAGCCAGAGGCACAGCTTGCCTTTGGGCACCCAGCAGGCTCCCAACACAGTTCCAGTTAAGGGTCAGACTGAGCTCAAGACTTTCACCCTGTCAAGGAAAACCCGAAGTACCAGAGATGATGTTACTCTGTTCACCCATGCCTGCACAGAAGTCTGAAAGGAGCTCAAAATGCCTCCCCCTCCACACATTTCTACACCTCTTACCCTTGCATTTATGCTGTTCAGAATCAGTCTGTTTGATATAAACCCCCTGGATGCTGCATGTCTGCATGGCCACTCTTTACAGTAAATGTACCCTGACATGCCACCTATGAAACAAAACTGAAATAAAAAACTTCCTTATTTGTGCACAGACTAAGCTTATCAGTACCCTCACACACTCCTGCACCACCAGCATCTGCCTGAGCCTTCTTCACCCACATCATGAGGACAGCAGGGCCTGAGCTGAGAGCAAGCAAGCTTTAGTCATGCAGCTTACCATTCACCTGCCAAAGGAAAACTCAGTGTGTGGAGATGGGAGCTCAACAGCTTCTTCCCTTGGTGGAGTGTTCTGGTGATAGGAGGCTTCTGTGAGAACATAGGACCCAGAGGCAGACCCAAAGTGTAAGACTCAGCCCTAGGGTGGATGGGGCTTTTGGGCAGTTCAGGCCCTGGTGGCCTTGTTGCTGCAGAGGCAAGCCAAGTCTATCCTTAGGCATGCAAGATTTACCTCCATCCACCCTCTCTGGATGGAAGCGCTGGCAAAAGATGAAGAGTGTTGCTATGCAACTTGGTACAGGAAAGTGAAATGCACTTTTCTAAGCTTTGTGATAAAGGACAATTGGTGCTTTAAATCCTTCATTTCTTGATACTTTCACATTAAATACAACTTATTTTTCTTTTGTCATTCCAACTATTTTGTGCAGAACCCACTGAATGCTGCAGGCCTGGACTAGCTCAGAGAATTTCAGCTCAAGAACTGCTCCTGCCTGGTTTGTGAGAGCCATGGACAAAGAGTGATGATTCACATCTGGCCTGGAGTCCTCCACCCAGCCTGCATGAACAGTGTACAGAGCCTTATGACACCTGGACCTTTGGTGTGTCAGAACTCACCAGACCAATACACACTTTCAGCTCCTGCACCACAGACCTACAAGCCCAGGCTGAGCACAGCACCCCTGCAAGCCACAGCACACAGCAGACAAGCAGCCCTGGCGAGGCTCTGAGCCCAGGGCCCAGCACAGACTCACCATGCAGCAGCTCACGGGTAGGACAGGCCATTCCCTCTGTCATCTGGCTCGCTCTGGAGCTCCCCAAAGTGAGATACCAGCTGGTCCTGCTCTGATTTTAGTCTGCACTGTCCCAGGAGGGATGGCCTTGAGCCCACCGAACTTCTGCATCACTGGATGGACGTGGTGAGGAGTAGGGCAGGGTATCAGATCACAGCACCACTTCTGGGAACAACCTTGGCTTTGGGAGAGCAGGAGACCTCAGACAGCTGCGGTGGATTCACTTTACTGCTGGCCTCTCCCTGCCTCCCTGGCAGCAGGCCTGGCAGCCTGCAGTAGATTCACAGTCTCCACAGCAACTATTTATAGCGGGAAATTCACAGCTCTGCTGAGATGGAAACAGAGAAGTCCTCCCCCTCTGCTCTGCCTTCTCCAGACCCAGAAACCGTGGGGCTGCCTGACTCTCTCCCTGCTCCCAGCAGTGTCAGCAGGACTTGCCCTGCGGCACCATCTTCTGCCTGGCAGAGCCATCCCTGTTCCCACACCAGCCCGTGTGCCACACTGCCAGACCTGAGGAACCCCAGCCTCTCCAGCAGCGCCTGCACACAGTCCAACACCACCACAGCATGCTGCTGGTGGCCACAGAGCCCATGCTGCCCCTGTTCCTGTCTCTTGGAGAGCAAGCACAGCAGCATCCTCCCACAGCCCTGGGGGGACACGAGCGTCCCAGCACCACGCAACACAGGGGAGGAAAAGGCCACACACAGTAAGAATCACATTTTCCCCCCCACTGCCACAAGCTGCAGGCTCACACCGGAGCTGGGCATGGCCTGGCCTCCCCCTCGCTGGGGCCCTGGGCTCGCACAGCTCGGGTTTCCTGGCTGAGGCTGCAGAGAGCAGGCCCCAGCCCTGCAGCAAAGGGTTAACCCTGCCTGCAGTAGCTCTGCTGCAGCTCCAGGCTGCCAAACCCAGGCCAGGGCCTCCCAGAGTGGTTCTCCCCCTGCCTGTGCCCCTCTGCTCTCACCTGCCTTCCCTGCACTAAAAATACCAAGGGAGGGGGCAGAGGCTGCGCCAGGCCGGGTGCTGAGCCCTGCAGGGCAGCGTGCAGGGGACAAGTGGCTTGTGACCCCTTAAAGGGCAACAGGAACACACAGAGTACAGAGAGGAGGGACTAAAAGAGGGGGAGAGGCAGACTGTACAAAACTCTGCTAGTAAAGGAAGGGGAGGGAAGAAAAGAGGACAGATGGGCCAGGAGCCAGATTGCTGTCTGGGAAGAGCTGTGAAATTCATTTAAGAATTGTTTTGGTAAATTAGGAGCACTGGTTTCTGCCTCACGCTGTTGGACAACAGTGACCAACAATGACAAGAGTGAAGGTTCAGCAACCCTTACCCAGAGTGAGAGACCACAGCCAGAGCTGCCATGCACCACGGGGCCCCAGTGCCAGCCAAGACGAGTGTCTGTGGAGGGAGGCTGCCTGCTCCCGTGGGCAGGGATGGTATTTGAGCTCTGGAAACTGCAGAGGGATGCAGGTGGAACTGGCACAAGGTTATCTTGAAGAAACATAGCCTAGGGAGGAGGGAGAAGCCTCGCTCCTCACACAGCTTCGGGGTCCTGGTGCTTCAGAGTACACTTTCCACTTAGAAAGAAGAAAATACATTCTGTGTAATTGCATCATCATGCAATACCAGCATGACACAGAGGTTGTATATTAAAATTTATTGAATTATTGTGTAAGAATTCTCTTTATTAAAATCATTTTGACTCTAAACTGATTATTTACAGACAAAACCTCTTATATCACCAATAGATTCCTACATCTCAGAACAGTATCTACAAACAGTTATTACACTATGTAACAAAATTCAGATTTTTTTTTCAAGCTTTTTATATTAATTATTAATTCAAACTTGAGAAAGACAGTACCTTGGGCGCTCTGAGCAGAACCTAAGGTGTGGCAGGGCATAAATGCAGGTCAGGCCATACCATAACAGACAGACAGACACCAAGTCACAAGGCTGGGAGAGAGCAGAGTCACCACGACACAGACCAGGAAAAAGACTACAAGAGCAAATGCCCTGGGTGTTCTGGAAACCAAAATAACCATCCCCACAAGAAAGGCACACATTAAAAAAAAAAAAAAAAGGAAAAAAAAAAGAAAAAAAAAGCATCTTGCTGCAGCCAGGGCACGCCCTGAAAAAGATGGCATTCCACCAAGGCAGCAGCATCCAAGAACCCTCTATTCTCTATTTTCATTTAAAAAAAACAGCCATAATTTCTACCAAAACAAAAAAAATTGCCACCAGACAGATGAAAGCAAGAGCTCTCACATCTACATCACGTGGGTGCCAGCTGTGCTTCATCGTGCCAAAGGGAGACACGTTCAAATACACTAAGGGAGATTTATCTTAACACTGATCAGTTCTCAGCCTTTCACCCAGACCACGGCAAAAGCAAGTCCCTCCCTCTGACCACAGCACTAAATAAAGCTGGTGCCTGCCACGGGGGGAACATCGCTGTGCTGGGAGTCCCGCTGGAGCAGTGACATCCCCGTGTCCCACAGCAGGCTGCGGTAGCAGGGCTCTCTCTGCTGGTGCCCACTGAACTTGCTACCTGTGAGCAAACAGGAACATGCAGACAGGATTCTCTGTCCTTGACCAGGAATGTCCGCTTGGTTGTGGAATCAGGCAGAGACTGGGAAAAACTTGGAAGGATCAAGAGGAATAAATAAATAAGTTTTCCCTGCAAAAGGGAATTTCACAATAAAACTGTTTTGTGCAAATTTAAATGCAACAGAAGCCTGCCACAGAAACGGATTTTGCCACAGGAGAGGGGCACGGACGGAGATAAGAGGGGCCACGCCTAAACAGCCAAGCTGATCCCAGGAGGGCCTCGGTGTGTGTCCACAGGGAGGAGGATGCTGGTATCCAGAACACCGAGGAAGATGAATGGGAGGAGATGGGCACTACCAGCTGTCCACCCTCACTGCACCTGCACTGGGCAGTGTGTCCTGTGCAGCCAGCAAGGACAAACTGAAGATGTTAAATAGGTCATAAACTTCTGTTTAGCTCTATTTTTAAGTCTTGATTATCAATCTAATAAAAACAGACTTTCACAGATACACTCGGAAAAAGCAGACGATTTCCAACATCCAGGAACAGCACTGAGAAGCAGGGAGAATGTGGATACCAGTGGGAGGTGGAATGAGAATTAAGCCTCAAGCCACTCTGTTCTGGGAAAGTGCAGAGATAATTCTGCAAAAATAGGGGCAGACACTGACAGTCTGTAGAGCCAGAAATCCAGGGAATTTTCTGTGGCTTCTGGCAGACACTGAGCAAGCTGGAGAGGCCACAAACCAGGCCTTGTTTCCTAGGGTAGAAAGTCCATCCACCAACACACAAGGGGACATTCTACTCCACCACTATACCTGCACTTGCCTCAAACCAAGGAATCTCCTCCTGCAGTCCCTCAAGAAATGGGCTTTACTAACATGCTTTGTATTGGCTTTTTCCCAGTCCTTTCCTCGGCTCAGCTTTTTGGGGTGACCAATTTAATCAGATTTAGTCAAGACAAAAGGTTCCAGAGATGTTAAGTTCCCATAAGTTTTGTGGAAATGGGTGGTCAGGCAGGAGTGAGACCCTAACTGGTCCTCATGTGGGGAAAGAGGCAAACTCTGCAGCCCCATTTTTGCCTGGCAGCAGCCAGCCAGCCACCCTGCTGCTCTCTCTGTACAGCAGGATAGGAGCAGAAGGTTGCACAGGGATGCTCATACTCTGGGCACACCATGTACCTGGGAATACTGCTACACTGCTGAGAGAGGGTCACAGAAGAGAAGAGAGGCCCAGCGTTAACCTGCTCCAAGGACAATTCTGCACCTACATAGCACTTGCACAAAGCCTGATGGAGCAGGCCTGGAATTACTGCTATTTGCAATGTAAAGAGAGGTAGGGATGTCATCCTGCCCTGGTCTAGCTCTGCTCCCTCCTGGCCCACACAATCACCACCTCAGAGTAGTGGCAGAGGAGTCAGACCTGTCTACCTGCCCCAGGCACACAGGACATCAGTGTGGAATTAGCAGCTGGGGGGGCAGGGGTGGGGCAAGCAGGAGAGAGAACAAGTAAAGCACCCTTATAAATTAGCTCCTAGAGGGGCAGAGGGCTGTTCACAAGGTAGAGGAACTAAGGAGGGAGCAGTGAGGAGCTGCCCAGTGACAGCTGCCAACTAACTATGCTTGTGCCTGCTGCACGGCCTCTCCTCCATGCACAAATCATTCCTTTTTGCAGGACACCAGACTCCTTGGGAACATTGTGGTTGTGCTTGACAGCTCCTTTGAGTTCACAGCTCACCAAGTGACCCTTCTATGTGCCACAACAGCAGAGTTTGAGCAGTGGAGCTGAGAGTTAGGTGTTCCTTGGGAACATCGTGGTTGTGCTTGACAGCTCTTTTGTAACCCTTCTATGTGCCACAACAGCAGAGTTTGAGCAGTGGAGCTGAGAGTTAGGTGTAAGGCAAGCCTAAGAGAAGAGCACAAAGAGAGTCTGGGACTGAGCTGTGGGGAAAGGCGAGCTGCTGGTACGACAGAGACACCTACAAGTTATCCCTGCAGACAAAGCAGTGGAGAAAACTGCTCCAGTGCTGACAGACGTTTGTCAGTAGAAGTGCACAGAGATACTTCTCCAAGAAAAGCTTTGTCTCAAAGCCACAAAGTTAAACATTCTCCTTTAGCATTTAAATACATTAACTTTGAGGGTATTTACAAGTCCAGTTCAGAGCAGCAAAACAGCTGGACACTGGAGGAAGGGGGAGTGGCACAAGGCATTTGTGCTTTTCCAAAGAGCAGGACAACCTCTGACCACAAGGAACCAGGAAGACAGATCCGAGCTGAGTCAGTGGAGACCGAAGCGAGCCAGGCAGCGACTCTCCCACTGAATTTGTCCTGAGGGAAAGGGTGAGGGGGTGCTGTCCATTTACAGTGGGCCCCATGGCAAACACCCATGCTGGTGAGCACATTCCAGCCAAGCAGGTGCCACACACGAGCTGTCAGAGACCAGAGCACTGGGGAGCAAGAGACCTTCACCATTGGACACTCTTCTTTTCACATCCAACATCTGGGACCAGCAGGGACATTGCTGCAAGGAGTTTCTCAGGAGTGCTTGCTAGCTGGAAACAGAGGTCAGCACAGCAATCAAAAGCTTCCTGATCCCAAGGAAGTGAGTGGTTGCAGCAGGGAGTGTTCCAGCACTGGAAAGAGCATCTGTGCAAGGCTGAGGACTCCACAGACCGTGCTCAGTGTTGTCACCTGGCTCTTCAATAACATGGTTTGCAAACTTGGCACATTCACGTAACATCTGTAGGAAGGACCTCTGTGGTCCCTCAGCAGTCTACCAGGGAAAAAACAGAGTTTGTCCTTTTTTTTTGTTTGTTTCATTTTGCTTTTAAAAAGAAAAAAAAACCTGTAAAAAAATATTCTCTGAGATGCAAGGACGCTTGTACTTTGTACTGCCTTGGCCATCCCCTTGCTCATGTCACCCGCAGGTTCCTTGGAGAGTCTGGTTCCAATGGCAGCAGGACACCCTGTTTATCAACTAGGATGAGCACTGTCCCCATTCAGCCAGGGGAGAGCAGTCTGTCTGTGCCTGTCACAAATCTGTGACTTTATTCTCCACAGCTGCTGCAATCTGTTGCAGTCTATATCCAAGCTGCATTTTCTGTGCTGTTGGGTCTTCTTCCAAGGCAGTAATGATCTGCAACAAGACAGAGCTCACTGGCAGCCTTTCTCCAGCACACAACACCCAACCAGCTGAACTCCATGCATTATGGAGGACATCAAGCTGGAATTCAGCATGCTCTAGTCTAGAGTGGGTATGTAGTAACTAATCTCAAATTAACTACAAAAGAAGTATTCTAGATTCATTGTAGTAACTTACAGACTTCACAGGGCAAAAAGAATGCTAAACTTCTCACCTCAAAATTAAGTCTTTAGTACATTAATCTGAACTAACTTAATTTCTTCTTTAAGTAGAGTATTTGGATATTGGAGTAAAAATGAAGAGGTGCACATGAAATGCCAAAAGCCTCCAAGTTAGAGATAAGCTCTTTTTGCTCATCTCCTCCCTTGCTCTTTGATAAGAATAAAACAAACTCATGACATGAGTTATGCATGCCAATGAAATACACAGTGTTGGAATAGTCTGGCCCTTTATTGTTAATTTTTGTAGTTTTTTTGTTTGGGTGGTAGAAGAAGAAAGGTATACTCATAGCTGCTGGAAACACACACTCACCTGGTCATAGTACTTATTGATGTATTTGTACAATTCATGTAGAGCCACCAGGGAATTGAGGTCACCTGAGTAATTCTGTTTATAAGAGAAGAAATTAGACAAAACTGTAAGACACCTAACAATTGTCCTGTCACATCCTGTGTCCTCACAACTCATTAAGAAAGAACAGGAAAGAGAATTCACCAACAGTTGCTAGCAAAGGAAAAATCACATGTATTTCTTGCCCTGAATCCTTGATACCACCTCTTCTCTCCAGTGCTTGCTGGGCAGACCCTCACCCTCCCTGTGGTGCAGAGCAGCCACTAGGCACAGTCAGTGTGTCTGAGCAGAACTGCACACTCAGCTGGAATATCTCATCTTTGCATTAATAACTCTCTCCTAGATACACAGGTGAGGGGCCAGGTGACTTCTGAAACACTTTTATTTACCCGTGACAGCTCAGCCAGGGCAGAGTTCATCTCCTGGTCACTGGCAGAGATGGTCTGACGAATGTCTGAGTAGTACCTAGACAGGGGCACACAGGAATTAGTGCATGGTCCCCCCTCCTCACTGCTGAAACCACAACTCCTCACATCCATCACTTACCTTTCCACCATCTGCTTGTAGCGAGGAATGTCCCGGGCATAAAGCAGCTTATTGATTGGAGAGTCCTTGAACATCCAAAACCAGAATTGGTTATGAAAAGCTCCTTTTATTGTGCTGTGGACTAACCTCAGCAGATAACACCACCGCCCAATTTCTGCCATTTGTTTGGGATCAGGAATTTTTTGTTCTCTGCATGGAGAGGCACTTCAAACAGCAAGCTCTCTTCTAGTAATGCAGTCTGAGACACCCTGAGATGTGCTGATGAAGGCACCCTGGGATCCCTAGTGCAGCCTTCCCCCTGGAGCTGGGTGATCACCAGTATGAGATCACACTGGCTATGGCTTTGCACAGCTGATGCCTGATGTGCTCCAGAGATCCACCCACCCCATCTCTGGTGAATTGTGCAGGACTGTTCCACCCTCAGCACAGGGTGAGTAGTGATGGTGGAAAGCCTTTCTAGAGGCCAGAATGTCCCAAGTTGCATCCTGTGACTCCCACTGTCTGCCACAGTCAACTGGAGTTCAGCTCTGTCCCCCAAGTAGCTTTATTTACAGCTGCAAGCTTTAAATAAAGAGCATTCCTCAAAAATTTCTTGTTGCTAAACAAAATCTAATCCTCTCTCCTCTCTTCCCAGGAGCCCCCATTCCTCTCCAGCTGCACATGGAAACCAGGGGGAGCCGAGCCTGCTGTCCCCATGGTGCTATGTAAACATTATTGCCTTCCTAAGGCAGCACTGCTCAACTCTCTGTGCCAGCCATGGTCCCTTCTCCCTCTGTACTCACCCGCCCTAACTTATGGTCAGCTATTGTACAGGAGTCCATGAAGGTCTGTGCAATGACCAGCAGCACAGCGTCCACGTTATCCGACGTCTGAACATCAAAAACAAACTGGGGGTTCTTGATGATATTGATCCAGAACCTCAGGGGGAGGCTGTAGAGAGGACAGAAAGGCAAAAGGGCATCAGCAGAGGTGACAGCCACAGTGCTGAAAGAAATTCTACATGTTACTGCATCTCTCTGCTCTGCCCTCCAAGCAAAACCAGCTCTTCACCCTATAGTCTGCTGCCCTGCACTTGAATTTTGCTCCTCCTCAGTAGGCAGAGGTGGCTGTCACTTTGCAAGCTCTAAGCAAGCCAGCAGTGCCTCCTCCAGGGCCCTCAGGAACACCCCACCTGTTTGTCTTCCAGATATGGATGGTCTCAGGGTCTGTGATCCCATAGTGGATGGCCTGCTCATCTAACAGGTCAAAGAAGTATTTGACTGCCAGAGGAACAGGGCGGTTGGTACTGAGGATCACCTGGAACAAGTCATCCACAAACTTCTGCAGAGTGCCCTGTGGAAAATCAAACAGGACAGGGTCAGCACAGACAGAGGAGAGTAGAGAACCTGGGCCTCAAAGATGAGAGGTCACACGCTTCTTCTCAGTGACAGCCCCTCACCCATCCAAGGGTACTCCACCCCCACTGAAGGGAGCAGCAACAAAGGAGAAAGGTGGTGTGTGGAACAGAGGCCAGGGAGAACCTCGTGAGCAAAGCAAAATGTAGAGGAGACTCAAATGTACTCAAAGTCACCGCAGGTACTGCTTCATCTTCACACACACCCCTGCAAGCTGCTGGGGGATATGAAGGAAAGCAAGATCCCAAGCACAACACAATCTGTGCTTCCCCTCACCTTCATGGAGAGCAGACGTGTCAGATAGATCTCTGGGATTGCCTTGGCCCGCTCCCGATCTCTCAAGCTCCCACGCCGATGCTTGGGAAGCTCTGGCTCTTCTGTTGGTTTTACCAGGTGCCAAAGCTTGATCCCACCTTCATCTGCATCCTCCAGCATTGGTGTTTCTAAATCAAGCAATTGTTTATAGATGAGTGTTGGCTCTCTCACAGTAGACCTTGGCCAGGTGAGGCCAAGAAAGCAAGATTTCCCAATACAACAGAAACACAAATGGGAAGGCATCTCTGGAGGCCTCTATCCAGCCTTCTGCAGAGTACAACCATTGCCAACTATACAGAAGGTTGCCTTTGTTCACCCAAAACCTTCAAGGTCTTGGAAACCTACCCACACAGAGATCCCCCACGACCCCAGTGGTCTGTTTCAGGGTTGAGCCACCCTTTTGCTGAAGAAGTTTTGTTCCATATCCAATTTGAATCTCTTAAGCTGCAGCCTGTAGCTATTGTGCCTCATGCCACAGGAGTATCCATGGAGCTGTACACTCTGTCAGGCAGTAAGGACACTGCCTGACATCCCATCATCCCTCTCAGGCCATGCCCAGCACCTGAAGACATAAAGATTTCTGCAAGTTGCAGACTGTGTTCAGCCCTAGAGAGTCAGACAACTGTGCTTCTGTATTTTCACACCTAGCCCAGCCTTCCTCAGCTCTCACACTTTTGCTTTCCTCTGACCTCACCTGACCAAGCTTTCAAATATCTGACAAGCATATGAGAGTCCAAGGGATGTGTCAGCCTTCTATATCAGCATAAAGCTGGGGCTACAGCAAGGGACTTGTCCCACTAACTGGCAAGTGCTCTGAAGTAATTTTATGAGAACAAGGCATCAAACTCACTTTCTCCTGGGATGTAATCCTGATTTTCCCTGTGGATGTGCTTGGTCAGGCGTGGGACGAGTGCTACTGTTGCTCCATCAGGCACCTGCACAGAAGCAAAACAATATTCAAAGCAAAGGGCATGTTTCTCATCAGTATAATAGGCAAGTGCTTGTAGAACATAACAGGCTGTACCATCACTAGAAATAGGGACAGAAACAAGGATTTGGAGGCACCATCACTGTCTTTCCCGAGGGTGAGAAAATCTTGTCTGTACCAATTGAAGAACAAATGTTCAAAGTACAACGAAGATAATACTCAGGGACTGAGGTCATTCAGATCTAGAACATGTTGCAACAAGGTACTAACATACTGCAAGATACAACACTGGTGCAAGGTAATTTAAAAAAAATCCCTCTTTCCATTGTTAGAAGGTACTTGGCAGCTCAGTGTGTCATCACCTCCTAACTGATCTGGCCTGGAACAGGAACAGATCCAGCACATCACCTTCACTGCAGTATGAACTTGTGCCTACCCTTCCAAGCCCTACACATGCCCACATCTCAGGTGTGGGATAAGGACAGGGCTGTGTTTGAGGACGTCAGGCTGCAGCCACAGCACTGACTTAATTTGAATATGCTCTGCAAGAAAGGTCCAACCTTTTGACAGTGGTCCACCAGGAGCCAGAGCTACAAAGAGAGCCTGACAGTGTGTAGAAGGATGAGAGGGGAGATAAGGCAATGGCAGACTGAGTTCTGACCTTGTAATGCTGAAGAGTGTTCAGACGTTTCCAGGTTCCTTGAACAACAGATGTCACATCCTCGTCGGACAGTATCAGATGACCTGCCAGCCCTGATCTCCACTCTACAGCCAGTGAAACACAGAAAAGAAAAGGATTAACTGCTCACTCAAGGCATCATCTGCGTCAACCTGGCTGACCTCATTACACACCCTCTGGTCCTCGTCAGCTTTTACCTGTGCTCTTTCACAGACAACATAACCTGAGCAAGTGCCTGTCATGATGCTGAGTCCTGCAGTCACAGGACACACCCCTCTGAGCACAGGGACAGGAGGCATCATGGCCTCCCATGTTCCACCTGTCACGTTCCTACAAATTCTGTCAGATTGTGACTCTTCAAGCAGGTAGTTCAAACCACAAACATGCACCCACAGTTCTTATCAGCTACTATTTCCTTCTCATCCCTAAATGTCACCATTATTCATCATTAAGAAGATGGAAAACTGAGTGTTTTCTCTCCCAATGTAAGTTCTACCAATCATTAACTACCATAGGCAAAATCCTCCCTGACATATATTATTAAGAGGCTGCCATTGACTTCACTGGCAGGAAGTGCCAGTCTATGCCCACAGCATCTTTGCACTGCACTCAAATCCTCCTCCCCTCCTACACATTTTCCATACTCTTTTCCCATATCCCTTTGCCCAAGCCATTGCTGTGGTCTGAGTCTGGCAAAGAACACCATGAAGTGAAAGAGGGTGAACCCAACTGCTTCTTTCCCACCCCTGCCTCTTTCTGTTACCCTGTTGTGCCCAGTCAGAGTGGTCAGTGATTCTGCACACTCAGTCCAAAATGACAAATGTCACACGTGCCAGGGTGCCGTGCACAGACAGCAAACCACCATTCCTTCACTTCCTCACTGGGTTTTGTCACCAAAGAGCTCTGCTCACCGAGGTCCAGGGTGTCTGGGTCTGGCCGGTGACAGTATGGCGTCCCTTTATAGATCTGATCTAGGATTTTCTCCTTCACTTGCGTTATGGTGTCACAGTCCAGCACTTTTGCAGAAATCCCTTGAGACTCTTCTGCCCCTCCTGCACCAACTCCTGCTTGTGTCAAAGCGTTTAAGGTCTGGGGAAGAAAAGGTCACAGCTACTCAGCTGATAAGATTACATCTGACACATTTACACCTTTGATGGCTGGCATTCAGGCAAGTTAACAGCTAGTCCTTTCACTGGGAGATTCAGAAAAGAAAACACCACTGATGTTAAACACCTCAGTCTTGTGTTCTTAGCCTTGTGTCAAGAGCTGGAAGCTAGTTCAAGAGCATTGGGCAGGAGCTTCGATGTGCCATCAGCAACGTCACCCCTTTATTTCTAGACTTAGCACAGCATGTACATCAGATGAGTGTGGTGCAGGCTCCCATCAGCCTGGGGTAAAAGTGCCTGATTTAGCAGAGCTCTTCACCATCTATGCACTTGTGCTGCTGGAACAAACCTGGCTCCCAGGAGCCAGGGGCAGGATGTGCTGCACTTGTGCTTTGGTTATGGCAGCAGAGACATTCAGCCCTGCTGTACAGAGGACAGAAGATTTGGTGCTTACCAGAGTGCGGTACTCCAGGTCCTCTCTCAGAAGGCGGTTGTCATTCAGGGTATATTTGGCTTTCCCTGTCACCCAGTCAACTGGCCCTTTGTCCACCTGGTGTTTGATTCCTCGAAACAGCATGTAAAGGGGCTCCCCAACAGAATCCTGGCATGGAAAGGAAGGAGAGAAATTCAGCTTGCTCCTCCCAGCAGAGCCCCAGGCATGGAAATAAGGATATCAAGCAGGACTGAGGATACACCAGCTGAGCCAGAGTAGGCAAAGACAGAGCCTGTGACAACAGCTCCTGCTCCATGCACAGGAAAAGTGCACTGCTGAGCTACCAGAGAGATGCACATCACCAAGGCCTTGTTCTGCCTCTGTGTCACTAATCTGAGAGAATCCTTGCCACCTCCCCAGCCCTCTAGAAAAGGAATTAGACCAGCATCTGTCCTCTCATGCACAGACCAGCCTGAGTCCTGTGTATTTCAAGATAAAGGAGCTACACTGAGGCCTCCACGACCTAGTGACACATGCTGGAAACAAGTGGTATTGATACTGATTTAAGAATCCCAGTTCCCAGTGAACAGCCTACCCCTTATTTCTCACCCTGAAATACAAGGTGACCCTGGCACTATTTCAGCTATGAGTGAGGCACAAAGCAAAGCTGTGCCTGTCATCCCTCCTTTGGCCCCTCTACATTACAACAGGACAAAGAGCTCACCCTCACAAAGGCATACAGGCAGATGGACATCCAGTTGGTCAACAGCTTCTCTACCACTGTTTCTGTCCTGAAAGAGAGCATCAGGTTGGTCACAGGAATGTGGTGCAGAACCGGGGGAGATTTGGAGGTAAAGATCATTCCCTTTGGAAGAAGGGCACACTAAGTCATGATACAGAATGGAGAGGGGAAAAAAAAGCCTTTTGAGAGCAGCACTGCTTATTGGAAACACTTGTCAGCCTGAAGGAGGCACCAAATTACAGAATTGGAGAGACAAGAAGCAGGGAACAGTGGAAAGACTCTGGTAGGTCTCAAACAAGGGAAATGTGTTCAGATCAGAAGGATGCACCAGATAAGAGACTACTGGGGATCTAAACAGGGGATATATCTCAGTTTAGCTTCCAAACATGGCATGGCTGTGAACCCAGAGACCTCTAAACAGCAAAGTGGGATTACAACACTTGGCAGAGCCTTTCAGCACTGGCCAGCCAAGCAAAAAGGCTCTGTCCCTCTACCCTCAGGTAGCTGCCAGTGGGACCATGGCTCACTCACCTCCGCAGCATCAGCTTGGGGTTCTTGGCCACATACTGCTCCACAAGGTCGTTCAGGAGTGTTTTGAGGATGTCAGTGAAGTACTCCAGCTTCCCATGCAGCGACACCGTGAGCAGCGATGCCACATAGGCCCGGTCTCTCGGAGAGAAAGTGCGCTGGATCTCCAGAGTGTGGATGAACTGGTGAGGAGAGAGAAAAAACAGTGTGTGAATCCGCTGGAAAAAAAGCAGTCACAGCTGCTGGCTCTTGGAAGAAGTGCAGAGAACTATTAAGGAATGAACCTTAACAGACACTGCCCAGCTGATACACCAGGATACACCAGCTGAGCCAGTGTATCAGAGCCTGCTGGCTCTGACCCCACAGCAGGCTGCCAGCAGAGAGAGGGACATTACCTTTGTGAGGAAGAGTTTGCTGTTGAGGAGGTTGGAGAGCTGCACCAAGCCCTGCTCCACTGTTTGCCGTCGGCACTCGGGGATGTCAAGGTCCCTTTGCAGTGGGGACTCTCGGTGGCCCGGAAAGAAAATGCGTTCTGCGTAGGACTTGTAGTCCAGGAAGGGGATCCCTGTGCCCACAAGGTCACTTGTGAGGTCCATCATCTCAGTCATCAGGTCTGAGGGAAAGGAAAATGCCCATGAGGATGATACAACTGACATGATCTCAACTGGTGGTGCAGAGCATGAGGTAAATGGAGGAACCAGGGCCAGCAGCATGGGACTGAGAAAGAGGAAGGATGTTTCCTCTCAGGAAGAGGCATATTGGGATCTCATTGCTAGAACATTTAAAGCTAGACTAGGCAGCAGGAGAAATAGCATGAGGAACGTTCCAATCAGGAGCTGGTTTCCAATTTTATAAAGAGGAAGCCACTATTCAGCACACATCTGTGGTTACAGGCATTACCTACAGCAAAGACAGAGTATTAGAGATCTACTCCTCACTCCTTCACACATTAACTGGGGCCTACAGTCTCAGTCACCTGCAGAGTTTCAGAGCCCCAGGTCTCTCACAGTTGTAAAGATCTGAAGTACAAAGTTTGTAAGCTTAGAACATGGGCAGTAATTCAACTTGCCCTACACAAAGACTGGGTTAGTAGTTGTCATTAAGATCCCTCCAAGTGTGCTATCTCAACTTTAGCTCTTCACTTGAGTTTGAAGGATGAAGTGGAGAATGAGAAAGGTCTGTAGAGATCACTGTGCCCTGAATTAAAGAATTAAAAAAGGAAGAATTTGGCTCTATGTTTCTATGCACGGGTACAGGATAAATTATTGCCTGCTCAGAGCTATGCAGACAAGTACACAGGAATGGGAAGAGAGGTAGGGTTGAGAGTGGTTCTCCAAGTTTCCCTGAAGCTACAAAAACCCAGGAGCTCAGTGACTGACCTGTGAATTCCTTTTTGCATCTGTCCCGAACACTTGTTTCCAGATTTTCCAGCTGGATTTGAACTTTCTTGTAATCCCTCAGAGCCTGTTTGCTCTTCCTCCTGCAATAAGAAGCAAAATTGTTCCTGGTGGCACTAGCCCAGGGACTGTCCTTGCCAACTGCTGTGTTGCTGCCAAACACTCGAGGGCAGTTGGTGCTGAGGCGACTTCTACAGAGCATCATCTTTGCAGGACACCACACAGTGTTCCATAAACTAGATGTGTCTCTTGAAGCATCCATTAGATTCTGAATGAACCACAGTGCAGACTATGATTAGCAATGTGTCTCCTGCAGCCAACACCACCAAGGGCTCAGAATTTGGCACAAAATAAAGAAAACTGTAACCTTGTTGAGGCCCAAGACGTACACTTGGTGGCACCCAATGAAAAACACTGAGAGGAACTTAAAGGCCTCATCCATGCCAGAAGTCGTTACCTGTATATGAAGACGATGACCAGAACAATCAGTGCCACAAAGGATGCACCCACACCCAAACCAATCTGTGCCTCCAGCGGGAAGGTGAGCTGGCTCTCCGTGTCATACTGCACTCGGCCCAGGAGGAAGTTCAGGTTTCCCATCTGAACCTGTAAGAAGAAAACATTTGCCATGATGATTCCATTCCTCTGCGCAGGAATGAAATACAAAGCCACAAGGCTTCTCCAGAATGAGCACAGGGGGCACACAGCCTCCCAGAAGAGCTGTCCCACAGCACATAACCCAGCTACACTGTTTACTTTCAGGCAACTTTAGCCTTTAAGAGCAGAATTTGACAACAAGATCAGTTCCCTGCCAACCCTATTACCTCCCCTGTCCCTCAGCAGGGCTTGTACCTTTCCTATCTTCACATCCCACTCCCACTTCTCCCACATGCCTCAAGAAAAGGCAGGGTTGCTGGCAGAGCTGCAGATTCCCTACCGTGAACTCTGGCAGCAGGTCCGTGCCCTCCCGCTTGGTGCGGTGCCGCGGGGCCGGCTGCTCCGACGGGGGCTCGCAGTAGAGGTGATTCCTTGTCAGGGTCTTCACCACACAGATGCCTTCCCCAATCATAGCCATAACTTCATCCTTGGAAATAGCCAGATCTAGATTTTCCCCCTGAAATACATTTGGACAGCACATGAGATCAGTGAAAAAACAACTATGTACTGCCATGGCTTCAGAGAAGATGGAGGAGACCAATACCATGAGATGAAAGCAGCCTTTTTTTCTTCTTGGTTTAGGCTCACATGTGAATAGGCCACAGGAGTTAAGTTTGTAAGCTAAAAAATTCAGATTTAGCTTTAGGACCTGTAGCATGCTGCATAAGTATAGTTATAAATAGCCTGTCCTCTTAAGGCTCTTCAGTGAAACCCAGCTAAGCTCAGCTCTTCACTCTGTGTATTTAAAAAGGTAATCTCACGTCAGTTAACCTGCACACTCAGCTGAGTCAATCAATGCCTTTCAAAGGTGTAACATATCTATGCTATTTCTCTTATTTGCTTTAATTTTGGAGGATTAAGACTTTTTCTTTTTTTAATAAAACCATGCTGACTGATGTTAATTAGATTTTTATGCTTTAATGCTTTCTAAGCCCAGAGCCCTGTCAGGGTATCCCAACAGGTTGACAGATCAATCTCCTTTGTCTTTTAAAGTTCTCTTCCAGTTTTCTCAAACTGCCCTACATCTCCAAGATGCAGTCAACTCCAATGGTAGTGGTCTAGGCATTTCTATGCTTTCTTTTTTAACCATATGCAGAAAGGGAGCTTGTGGAGAATTTGCACCTACGGCTGCAGCCATTACTTTCTTTAAGAGTACTGGACTGAAAAGTACCTTTTCATACAAATGAAATACCTCAACTTTTTTTTTTCTTTCATGTATGGTAAAAATAGAATCATTGTGCTCTTTAGAGTCACTGTATCATCTTTAATGAGTGATTTTCCCGCCTTCACTTAGTAACAGGTCTTCCCCACTGGCAGGATTCTTTTACTCGTAAGTTACTTCTAGAGGAAACTGAAGTAGTTATGATAGGGTCAGCAGCTGAGAACAGGATGTGGGGATAATGTAGTACTAACATCCCATATACAAACAGTTTATTAGGATTAAATAAAATCTAAAAAACAAAGCACAGAAATTTCCATAAGCCCTATGAAGCCCTAGCAATGATTTATGGACTCAAGAGGCTTTTTTGATGCACTCTTTTCCCTCCTCTTATGTAATGTTTCTCACAGGACAAAGCAGATGTGCTGTTGTAACAGGTTGTAACCTGTCAAATGCTTAAAAAACCTTGGATGCTGCATGACACCAACTTAAAACTTCATACAAGGAGCATTAATTCCAGCTGGTTTTTGTCTTACCTCCACAGAGATGACACTTCCTGGCTTGTGACGATATGGTTTGGCAGGGTCCTCAGCATTCAATGGTTTTAGGATGGGGTTGACTTCATAAGAGAAAGGCATGGGATGCAGTGAGTTGAAATCAAAGCTCAGATTATCCAGAATAAATTCCAGTTTGATACGGGCACTCCTCAACAGCAGGTTAATGGCTGGAGTTTTGCACAGGATCAGGTAGGAAGAGTTAACGAGACATGGTTCTTCAAACTAAGTGGAAAGGGCAAAAAAAAGTGTCAGTAATGGAACACCAATGCTTCTCCTTCAGCTTGGCAACACTTTCCACCCCAAACAATCTAGGGCCAGTCTGCATTCTTCTAATCTGGAGAAATGCCAGAAGAACCCTGCTTAACTGTAATGGGGAAAAATCCAAGATCTGAGGAATTCCCCATGTTCCTCTAAAGGAAAGCTTTCATAGCACTGGTTTTGTTGGAAGGTCTCAGCAGTGGGAATCAGCCCTGACATTCCCCTGGCAGCAAATTCTGGAGAGAGACCAGCTTTAGATTTCCCTGCTCTGAGAGAATAGGACCAAACATCTTCAATGCAGGGCTGTTTTCCCAGTCTGAATGCTTCTGTGAAAGTGTTCCCATGCCCGGTTGGATATGTTTTATACATTTGGTCAAAGTATTAGGGTTTTTATTTTTTTCTGCCCTACAGCCACAAATCTTTCCTAAGAACATTGATAAAACCAGCTGTTATTGATGCATGTGCATCAGGAGCACTTTTATGTACAGGAAGCCCTTCATCACTTGCACTAATAATGCAAATTGTTCTTGTACTTGGGCTGCCAAACCACCCTCTTCCTCTGCACATTCTGCTGTGTGCTCTGTGACCTTGGTTACAACATCAATACCTCTGTAATGACCCATCTTAGCAGACTGGCAGCAGGAGAGCAGAAAGTAATTGTGGTGCTGGTAATTTTGCTGCCTGGTTTTGTATGTCAAGTGAAAGACATCTCAGGAGCTACAGGGACAGACTGAAATATGCAAAAGGAAGAATCTGAAGCACAGACACACTGAGCCACACAAGCTCTCTGGCTCAGATGTACATTCCTTTATCTCCACACTGCTGCATTGCTATTTCTGTCCCACATCACAATCCTGCACATCTCTAGGCAGAGGCAGACCCAGCCCATGGAAATGTTTGTGGAAGTGCTTAACCTTTCAGCCTGGCAGAGAACACTTCCATGGGCCGAGACTGTTGGTACAATCCAAGCAGATAACAGCAAGTGGTGGGAGGAAAAAAGCCCTAGGGACAGAAGTCCACCTCTTCAGAGATGGAACATCAACCCTTGTGCACCCACACCCCCCCAGCGTGCTGTGCTACCTGCTGGATGCTGCACAGGGAGCCCTCAGGGCACTCAGAGTCTGGGACGATCCTCCGCCATCGCGCCACTCCTCGGCGCCGGCGTTCAGACGGAGAAACTGTGACTCGGATCTTTGGTTTCTGTACAACATCCAAGTTGTATCCATGAACTCTGAGCACTCTCCCTCCACTGAAAGACAAAAGTAGCTGATCTGACTCACCTGTTATTCATTAGCTCAATTTTGTCCATGCTCCCATCCTTCTGTTTATGCTCATTCTGACAAGCCTGGCTTCACCCCAAAGTGCTGCTCAAGAGAGGTGACATTGGTGCTGCAGCCCCAGCACACTGCCCAGGGGAAGGGACACTCATTCTTTTTACCTGAGGAAGCTTTTAGGTGGTTCTGCAAAAGTGATGTTGGGATCCAGAGTATATCTAAAGAGGGATCCTTCCAATCTCCGCTCCTGCTCCCCGTATTTGATGGTGACTGGGAGTTCTGTGGACACATTGCTGGGACTTGTCTGGCATGCCAGCTGATCCTCTGTCATCTCAGAGAGGCTTGGAGAGACAAGAACAAGGGATTAACACAGCTACTGCAGAGACAGATTTTATAGTACTGTGCCTTTCTCTTTGCAGAGAGTCTGCAAACCTCTTCTGCTATTTTCCTAAATCTCAGGCTAAAAGCTCTTGTGTCTTATCTGTGCATGTAATAATTGCTGGGCAGCTGTTGGGAGCAGCACACAGACAAAAGGCAGGTACAGTCACTGTTCAGACTGAAGGGACTGGACACATGCTACCAAGGCATGTGCACCTTCTCACCAGCAGTGAGGTGAGGCAGGTTTACGTGTCCCAGGGTGCAAGGAAACAAGCAGCTCTTGGGATCAGGCTGCAGGAGCCAACTGCAGCTCCCCACCAGGAAAAGCAGAGTGTCAGGGGGTGGTTACAGTCCTGTCAAGGGACAAGCAGAACAGAGGTGTGCAGCCCTGCTCATATCCAGGGAAGGTGGGCCAGAATCTAAGATGGTTGAGGTTGCTGCCATGACCCTCACAGGGAAGATCCCCTGAAATACAGAGGAGAGCAGAGCTCCAGCTGCTCCAGGCAGCATCACACCCTGGGAGGCTCTAGGATGGACTCAGGGCATTGCACAGCTAGCATACTGGCAAGTTGTGATCTTACATTTGACAAGGGAGATCTCCAAGCAGGACACTGATCTCATTAGGATGCCCAGTCAGCAGCTTTGAGCCTAGAAGGGTAAGGCAGGTTCCTCCTGCTTTGGGACCCTGAGTTGGAACAATGGATTTCAGCTCTGGATTCTAGAAGAAGGAAGAAAAAAAAAAGAAAAAAGGGAAGTGAGTGACAAGGACCTCAAAAGACAAGACAATGAAAGAAAACAGCAGAATGTGTTCAGTAGCCTACAATGCTCTGAAAATAGAAAGTACAGATCCAAACCACAGGCAGGCCTCAGCTATACTCCAGCAGCTACTTTACTGAGCAGAGGAGGGATCAATAACACCAGCAAGAACCACGAATCAGGGACCTTTCCACACAGTGCCAAAGGCATATGGATGCTGCAAACAGCAGAGCTGTGAGCCTCACACTCAACCCCGAGGATTACAGTCCAAAGGGATTGCTCAAATCAGTAACTGGATTAATAACTCAGGTTAGGAAAAACAAGGTAGCAAATAAATTGCCTGTTTGCCTAGAAGATGAGGAGATTAACAGCAGGGAGCCCTAAGAATTTTTGTTGAGACCTGTGCTTCAACAAGAAAAAACCGAAGTACCACTGAGGAGCTGCAGCAAAATTGAGAGAAACCAGGCAGAGTAGCACAAATAAGTCACTGCTGACAAACAAAAAACAAGATCCATAAAGTAAGAAGGAGGAAGAAGACTAAAGGATAAAAAGCAAACATGCACCATTGCTAGTCTCTAAACAGCATCCAGGTGATAACCAAAAGAAGAGCAACAAGCATAATCTAGTACATAAAATGGTTTTATCAAGCCAAAAATGGAAGAAATTAAGACCTGTCAGAATCTTGTAAATTGCACAGAAAGCAAGAAAAAGAAGCAATTGTATTTAAAAGTTATCTATGTATTATTTCATAGTTGTTGGGTTTAAGATATCAAAAAGTTATCAGAAATGTGTTTAAAATGATAGGAAACATTTCTCCACACAATGCACAGGAATTTTGGATTTACTGCCACCAGCTGCTGAAGGTCAGAAGACAAAAGCATGTTCAAATAGCAATTTGCATATTAACAAAAGAAAAGTCAGAAGTCTTTGTAAGATGTTAGCCATCAGTAAAAAAAAATCTTCAAGTTGGAAAGAGAGGAAAAATACAGACTATCTCCAAGTATTTAACCATTGTCAAAAGAAATAAAATCACTAGACGACAGGATCTTGAGCATCACCAGTACAGCTGTTCTTATAACCTAAAGGGGGGTGAGGGAGAAACAAACCAGACCAAACAACAAAAAATCCCAGTACACCACACAACACAAGCAGCAGAAAAATCAGATAAAAATACCAGCAGCAAGTGCCTGGTAGAGTCCCGTAAGTTCATGCAATAAACAGCCATTTAGCAGAGATACTGGGAAAACAGGGGAGCTATTACAGTTATGTTACCTGATAGGTGAAAACATGACCAGAAACCCCACGACCTCCTCCAGGCACTTCCACCACGATATGCCCAAACCTCTCAGTCCAGCTCCCGCCGGTGACGCACACGATGCTGCAGGACAATCCAAGATCAAAGTCACTCCAGGGGGGAGCAGGGGAGCTGCATCCACTGCAGCATGTCCTAAAAAACATCTAGCAACCACAGTTCTCTTCTTCCAGCCTTATCTGATGCTCAGAATATGCAACCAAAAGAGAAATGCCTCTAAAAAAGCTGGGTTAGGTGCAGCAGAAAAAAGCAGGGACCAGTTCCAAACAGGCCCATCCTATCTAAAATTATTCTTTCTGGGAGAGACAGGATGAATCCCACTGTGTCACAGATACACAAAGAGTCCAAGAACTCTTCTATATTCCAGAGTTGATCCAAATCAGTTGCATCTGGAGGGACCTCTGGCCAGCAGTGGTCAATCCACACATTAGTGCTGTGTCTGATCACGAGAAGATTCAAGACCTGGGTTTAGCTGTCACTGGTCTTCAGCCAGTGGCCTCTGCAACCAGCCAGATCCCCTGATCTGCACTAGTCATTCCTCCCAGCCCTTCTTCCAGACATAATTTGGGAGATGCTGACAAGATGGAAAGTCAAACTGTATTTAGCACAGAACAGCAAGGAGTCCCATGTTATAGCACTCATTTGCTAACAGAAAAGCTAATCTGCAGGAGACTTCCCAGCCCCCCTGCAGAGCAGGAGATTAATTTTGTCTGGGCCTTGCTCAGGAGTGGGTTCCAGGTTCACAGCTATATCCCCTCAACTAAAGAGGCTGAGGAATTTGAACTCAGGCAGTGCAGTCCAAACCAAGACCCTGTGATGCCAGGTGATTTACAGATACAGAACACAGACAGTGCTAACCCCAGAAAGATTAAGCTCTAATTCTAGGATGAAAACAGAAAGCAGATGGATCCAGGACAAACAAATTGCACAGACAGGACAACACTGCTCAACACAGCAAGCCATTCCCAGCAGGATCTTACCTGGCTTCTAGAGGGAAGGGTGCTACAACTACTGCTACCATGGAATGGAAAAACATGTTTGTGATAGCTCTGATAAGAGTTTACTCACAATTGCCTTCCTCTTCTCCTGCTGGTTGGTTGGCTACTCTCCCTCCCTTGTCCAAAGCTCCCACCTACCTGCCCTGCCACAGGCCAACTACACAAATGTCCTTTTCTCTTTTCTTCCTGGTTATCTCCCATTCATACCTCTTAGCACTGAACCACTGCTTTATTATTTTGTTCTGCCCTGGCCAGACACACCAGCTGCACAATTCTCTATGACTGACACGAGCCAGATTCAGGTGGATAGGTCTTTCTGCTTCTCATCCTTCTCCTTGCCACTACTTTTACAAGCACTGTGTGACCTGTCAGGCATTCCTGGCCACCAGAACAGTGGCACTGGGCCCACCAGGACTTCCTCATCTGTCCCTGACAGAGAGGATCTTTTCTTTGAGTTTGTTCCTGGGGGGAAGTTTTGCCAGCAAGTGAAGACTGACAGTCTAGGGGTGTGCCTTCAAACATGTGTTTCCATCCTCACCCTGTGTTAACACAGTCAGGCTATTTCCCTATCACTGACACTTGCACAAGCCATGTCTTTTGCTTTATTGCAATCTCCTGTGGCTGAGTGAGACACCCATGAAATTGCAGGGTTCTGAGCCCACAGCTCCACGCTGTCTGGGCAGCGTGGCAGGAACACAATATCAGTATTTGGCTGTCACCTTGTACACACCCTTATCTCTCCAGGGTCACTGCCTGAGCAAGTGCTCACACAGTGACCTTACTCAGGGCACTTCCTGGGAATGGGCAGGGCTCAACACCTCTACAGCAAAGGCAAAGACATCTCAGGCTGGGTCAGCAGCCAAGGGAAAAGCCAGCGCCTGCCTCTGGGAGGAGGTTTCACAGATACTCTACCTGCTAGAGATCTCATACTCTTGAGCATCTACGGCACAGGGAATTCCTGCAACAGTGACAGTTTCTGCAATGTCTTGATGTTTCTGCCCGAGGTTTGAGCCAGTGATGGTGATTCTAGTGCCACCTTCCACTGGTCCAGACAGGGGGTACACCTGCAAAGACATCCGCGCACGTGTAAATGTCACAGTATCTCAGACCTCCACAGTCTGGTGACTGATCTACAGCACAGGGCCCTTCAGCTGCCCTGGTGCAACCTCTGCCTCCTCAGGTCACTGCCGTTGACTCCTTTTACTGGCTTGGACTAGTCCCAGGTTGCAGCCTCATCAGAAGAAAGGCCATAAAGAACATCACAGTTGGAGCCTTCTTTCCCGTACCTTGCTGATGCCAGCAGTCCCCACCCAGAGGTGATAATCCATTTAGAAGGCAAAGACTGCCCTACTTTGCCTTCCCATCAACATGCTGACCACTCCACAGGGCATTTCTGCTGAAGAGTGGGAATGCACAAGCCAATACATGTTACTAGTATTGAAGCAGCAAGCACCATTCCCCCCTCAGCATCAGGACGACAATGAATTGCATGCTGCACAAATGTCAAAGCTCTGTCCCTGAGCAGCATCCAAGGTAAACTAAGACAAGATGCAGCACATGGATGTTGTGTGCCACTGAAGGGAGGACAAGCTGACAGCAAAGGGACACATGGCTACAGACACTTGTCATGTGGCAGTTAGCAAGAAACATTTAAAATAAACAGACAAAAAAATAATTAATTCCAGTAACCCGTCGTGCCTTTCCCATCATTGCTGTGCTGTTCTCATTAGGTTTTACCCTTCTCTGCCCCAGGCTTAGTTGGGCCAACCTCTTTCAGGGTCTGGCTCAGGACAGTTGGAGGATCCATCCTGTGGACCATTTCCCAGCTCCTGAATGATTCTGGTGTGCCAGTTTCAGCTGAGATACAAATGAATCATTCCCCACTGTTCTCTATTAGCAAACTGAAAGCCCAGCAACAACAGTCTAGAATCCTCACAACACTGAGGGACTCCAACTGAACTTGCTCTTCAGAAGGTCAATAGATTAATGAGCTGCACTGTTTGCACTCTGAGTTCACAGCCCTTGATTTCCACTGCAGAACGGAGCCCTCCTTGCCCTGTGTGCAGTGCACCAGTGAGCAAATTACTCACAGAGTGAATGAGAGGTGCTGGACACAGGTCTTCAATTTCTTCCTTGCAAGAGCCCCTGAAGATACAGCTGGGGTTGTCACCTCCACACCACACACAGTTGTACTTTGAGTCAGCTGTTTGGCAGCGGCTACAGTCAGTGTGTCCCACAGAGCAGTTGTAAAAAGTCACTGCAAAGGAGAAAAATTCAGAGGTACCTGCAAACATCCCCACAGGGCACAGCATAACCCAGCAACCTGCTGTCTTTTACAGACCCACTCCTCCTACCCCCGCGACAAGTGACAGAAGTGCAGCTCTGTTTTCCTTAGTTTTGTGATAGGACTACCACAAATATTAAAAGCCTCATTTGAGGATTTCTCAATTCCCTTCCACCTCATCTGTGTTTTTACTGGGAAGGTGTTGCACTCCTACCATGAAGATCTGCAGCACTGTCCACTCGAAGGTGTCGTCGCCTCTGTACAAACACCACAGCATTGAACTCGAGTTGAGGTGCTGTGTAACTGTACTGCAAAGACAAAGATCATTAAGAGGACTTAACAGAGGCAAAAACAAATCAGCTGAATAGGCAAGAAGCACCAGCATCCATACTGAAAAGTGCATAGCACAAACAGCCTACAAGGAACTTCCATGCATGTAGATAGTGTTAGTTGGGGCAGTGGCAGCACAGGCTTGTCCTCATGGTTCACAATCACAATTCTCCTCTAGAAAGAGTAGCAGATTTTGGCTCACTAAGATGAACACTGAAAACCAAGTCTGTGCTCACAAGAATACTTGTTTAACTTCCTAACTGCATTTCTAAGTGGCCAATTCCGATCTACAAGCCACCTGCTCAGAAAGCTGCTCAAGCTGGCATTTATGTAATTTCAGTAGAGCAAACGATGTAGGATCACAATTGGTCTGTAGGGCTCGTGCACAAGAGCCTGTGTTGTTCTTCTCCCTTAACTATACGAGTTTGTAAACTAAAAATTACATCTCTGCTTGCAAATCTTGCCTTAAGTAAAATTCACACAGCATCCATAAGTGTACATGTCTGTTTTAGTTTTCCCTGATAATTTTACAATCCACAGGCTTGCTTCTATCACCAAGGACAAAATCAGTACTAACAGCATTTTTCTTCTCACAAAAGAACAATTATCACAGGAGCCATGATGCAGAGAATGGCAAACAACAGTGCCTCAAGCTAAAGCAGGAGTGGCACCATGCTGGCCAGTTCAGAGACAGCACCACCCCCTGCTACACCTAGTGCAGCAAGAGGTCATGTGGCTCAGGCTGCACAATCTTCCTGAGGCTGAAGGTACCAGTACTGGCAGGCAGCAGCATCATAGCTGAGTGCCCCAGGGTGCTAAATATTCTACAAATACTTAAAAATATGCTCTTTTCTCCAGAGCTTGCCTTCTGTCCTACTCTCTTGCTGACAAAAACCAGCACCTGTGTGAACTGTGAAATGGCACAGCACTCACCTGGTTCATCTGGCAGGTGATATAACAGAGGGATTTGTTTGTTTCTTCTCCTTCCACATAGGCTTCCATCACCACTGTCCTCCCCTCCAAATTCAAGACACACTCATAGTCCCACTGCTGGTCCTGCAGGAGGAGACACATGGCACCATTCCTCATTGACACAGAGCTTTGGGCTGCACAGGTGTCATCCTGCCTCTCCAGTTCAGCACCTTTCCCCAGCCCACCAAGCCATGCCAACTCTATGCTATATTCAAGGGTGCTGTGACTGCCTCCATGTAGGAAGGGCAAACCAACACAAAACACCTACAAGGGAGTGTGTGTGTCACTGTGTGGAGAAGGTAGCACAGAGGGAGAAATAAAAAACCCAAACAGTGGGACTGTGAAGTTATGTCAGTACATCCCTGTGAAACACTAGCTTGGAGATGAAGAATAGAGTACACAGATTAGGGCAGAGCATGTCAAAACCAGTAAGTGTGTATTTCTCCTCCCTGTTTCTTTCCTGTAAACCTTCCACTGAATTGCTTAGATACTTCCTGTAAAAAAGCTAGATATGCATCTCTCTGGAACCAGCTCTGCTCCTCTGAGCAGTGCAGTATGTCAGGTTTAATGTATAAAGCAACAATTAGACTGTGGGTTGCATGTTCTAAGTTTTTTTTTTTTTTTTTGTCAAAGGTTACTAAATCATTTTCTGTCTTGAGAAGCAAAGAGAATTTTATCAGAGGCACACCCAAGAAACAGCTGTCAAGGATGCTTTTCCCCACTGCAGAAGTTTCAGGTATGGCAGGAATAGCCACATTAACATGAGCATGCCAGAAAGGAAAGGGAACAGAAGACTTGTCTTTAGCTTATGGAGAAACAAACAGGATGGATTCAGCAGAAAGTTATTCCAAGAACTACCACCTGCAGTGCAGCACAGGTGCAATTTAATCCAAATACATGCAGATCTTCTCCAGCAGAGAAGTACACCTGTACTCTCCCTTTCTCTGGGTGACCTTCTACACACGAATACATCCAGCTATGAAATTCTTCATGCACAGAAATAGGTTATTCCTCTAGGAGAAACCTAGGCAGAGTCACACCTGTATCTTACACATATTTTTAGCAGCCCAGTGGCCAGTTCAAACAGTGCCCTGCATTAATGCAATTTCTTGATGGTGATGGCATTGAGCTGACTACCTGATAGAGGTGGAAGTTCTTTCCCAGCAGGGTTATCTTCCTCGCCACATTGACTGGAAACAACGAAGATCCTTGGATTCCCTGCACACAGGGACATGCATTTGGACCCCAGCTGGGCTCTTCACTCTGAAAAAAACCCATAGGACACAAACCCTCCTGTGTGCTGAAATACTAGATTGGCAATCTGTAAGAAAACTTCAAAGAGTTACTGCTGTGAAGAGTTACTTCAAAGACTTAGACTGTGAATTACAATAGGCCAGTAACTTACCTCCTCCCAAAACTCAGGGGCATCATACTGATAATCAAGGTCAGGGTGAAGGATCCTGGGAAAGTCAGGGACATCCCTCTCTGAAGAATCGCCATCACCCGACAGAAGAGTGGAAGCAGAGAAAAGAGATGTGTCATTCTCAGCCTGCAGCAAATCCATCCAGTCCTCTGTGTCCTGGAGCTCTGTGCCTTCCTCCAGCAGCCATTCTGGGGGAGCTGATGTTGGGAGCCCCAAAACAGGGAGCTCAGTTCCTGGCAATCCAGGAGCATCATCAGACACAACAGGGCTCCCTGGCACCTGGCTGGGTGTCTGGGGAGATGAGATGGCAGATGTCAGTGCCTCTGTGGTAGGAAAAGGACTTGGAGGCCACTTGAAACTCGTGACATGAGGGGAAGGTGTAACAGCTGCCAGTGCAGATGTGTGCAGAGGGCTACCCCCGAGGGTGGTGGGTGGCTCTGTGTGCCAGGCCTCCTGGGCTGTGGCTGGCCCTTCAGTGGGCAAGGCTATGTGATCCATGTTTTTAGACGGGCTGGAGAGGACAGATGCAGCAGGAGTTGTCGTCTCTGGCACGGTGACAGGTTTGTCTGCTGGCGGTGGCAGCGGGGGCTCCGTGGCAGCCTGCAGAGAGGCAGCTTCGGTGGGGAGGGGCAGCTGGGTGTAGCTGGGGCTCCGCGCCGGCTCCGTCGCGGTCTCCGGGGCTGCGGAGGGCGTGACATAGACGGGCTCTGTGTGGGGCACAGTGCTCGGGCCCACGTGCACAGGGGTGGTGACAGCCTTTGTGGCCATGGTGGCGGCTGGGGTGGAGGACTTGGTGAGGGGAGCAGCTGAAGAGGGATACACGCTCAAAGTTGGGATCTGAGCCTAGAAAGAAAGAACACGGTGAGATGAGAAGAGGGAAAGACATGAAACAATAAAAGCCAAGCAGAAAAACACTCCGTATGACTTCCCATAGATAAGATGCTGTTTCACCCTCTGGATTTTAATGAGAGCTATATCTTGTATCATCTTGTGTGATGGGATTGGGGAATGTTCACAGTGCAGACGATCCAGCAACACTCCCTCTTCCCACAGATGCCTGCACTGGTCTCCTCTCAGAGGGAGGTCTGTTAGTTTTCATCCTCCACAAAAATGCAAGGCCACCTGTGGCAGCCACACACTGGGCATGTGTTCCACCTCCCCGTTGCAACCTCCCTGCCAGCTTGCTCTTTTCCTTCCACTGTGACAACACTGGCTGCATACCCCCAGGACAGTGACCTTCTTCATCTGACTGCACTTCCCCAGAAAGCTGTAGTATCTATCAGGGATGCAGAGCCTTGTGTCACTCCAAGGAGAGCTCCTCTTTGCTCCAACAGCTCACCTCCTTGCTTGATGTGACTGACAGCTGCTATTTTACCTGAGAAGAGATCTGTCTCACTGAGGCTGTGAGAGCACACAGGACTAGGACTGAGCAGGAGACATACCCTTTCATTGTAGATAATGGTTCCCTCCTCACAGGTTGCTTTGTGGGTGCAGAGGTGCTGCTGGATACACCAGTTACATCCCCAGAGACTGCTCACACACTTCTGGCACCTGGAGGAATGACAGAAAAGCAGCTGCTAAGACTGGACAACCCAGAAAGGGACAGCCACCCTCCCTAAAACTACAGAAGAGAAAAAGCAGGTGCTCACGGTGCCGATTTCCACAGCAGGGCCACTGCAGCACAGTCATAGAAAGAGAAGTCCACAGAAGCAATGAAGATGTCATGGAAACGCACTATAAGCTTTATGGTGACATGATCTGAAAATGAAAATAAAAATTTCTTAGAAATGGAGCCCCTACAAGTTTGCCATACTGTTAGGAGACACAGCATGCTTTAGGATAGACACTGAGGCAGATTCCCTTCCATGCTTTAAGCACCTCAATCACTGGATTATCCTATGGACACTAAAAACAGGTTGGACAAGTTCATCAGGAGTAGTTTGTGACAGCTCTTGCCAGCCCATGGGAAAGAAGCCTAGTCTGAAGATCTGTCCACCTTTATCTCTGTAATTCCACTGCCATCTCTGTATTACAGGAAGAAGTAATACTGAGGCTCAAAGCTGATTGCCTTCTTTTGTCATCCAAAGGAAAATGAAACCTTAGAACTGATGTGCCCTTCACATGCTGCCTTTACCTTGAGAGCTTTGTTCTATGACCAGACTAAGAAGTGTCAGGGAAGAGGTTTATAAGATTTGTAATCTAATTTGCAACAACTGAAGGCTTATCTGCTTTAAAATCCAGGTTTCACTTCAATTACAACCCTCAGGATAGCCCTGTTCTCTTTGAGAAGAGACTGTCACTGTTTTCTGTAGACCAAACAGCTGCAGAGATGGTCAAATCCTACTGCAGCTGATAGCATCAGCTGGAAGGAGATATTTTGCATAAGACAGTACTAAATCGGCTTATAAGTCTTGTCCCAGACAAATGCCTTCAACCTGAGAGTTGGTTACTAGTTCTCCAAATAATGGGAGCATACTGCACTCTCTGCTCAAGCCCAACAGCTGCTGTTTCTCTAGGGCACTTTGCAATAAAAGTAACAAGAACCTTGTGCACTGTTCCTCTCAGAATGAAATTTCAGAGCTCCTCTTGCAAGCAATCTCTAGTCACAGCAAAACAATCAACATGTGAAGAACCAGTCAGATCTAAGCTGGGTTCCTGACAGGATGGCAAGGGAAGCAGTATGCTAACAAAACATTGATGGAGGGTGTATTGAAACCCAGGATGTGCAGAAAATAAGGGATATCCTGTGCAGCTGGAGGCTGGAGTCACTGCAATACTGCCAACTCCTATCACTGTCATTGAGGTGATTGCATTTGGCAGTGGTGGAAAGGCTAACGCCTCCCAGGATTTCAGGGTTATGACACCATATTTATAAATACTCCTTTCTCCAGAAAGGCCATTATTTCCCATGACTGCCAATAATACTGTTTGACAGTACAGAAGATGAGGTCGAGCACTTGCAGATTGAGAGCAAGAGTTTGTGCTGCTAACTTGGAGCTCAACAGCTACACATGATGGATGAGCTGGTATGCAACCTATAAAATAAAGCTGGAAAACAGCAAATATTTTAGTGAACTGGGGAAAGTATTATAAGTAGGAATAGGAAAGTATTGGTATCTGAGGCCCTAATGAGATCTCATTTAGAAAAAAATGTATGAATCTGGTTACCAGCTTCAAATTCATCTTAGCAGAGTACAGAAGCCACGCAGAGAAGGAATAACAATACAGCGAAGGAGAGAGGAAGTCTCAGAAACAAGAGAACATGAAGAAGAAGCTGCAATACAGCGAAGGAGAGAGGAAGTCTGAGAAACAAGAGAACATGAAGAAGAAGCTGGCACAGTTAAACAGCAAATCTCTGTGCTAGGAATGCCTGGCCATAGCTCAATGAGTGGGAGAAGCAGCGCGGAAGCAAAAGGACAACACAAATAGATCAAACAGACAGAAACCATCCACGAGCAAGCTTATGGTGCACAACAGGAGCCACTTGATAAGTCTCAGACACAATATGAAAGCAATGTAGGAAAGGTATCTTGCAATAAAAGCAAGGCTGACTTACAAAGGAGCTGATAAGAATATCTGAAGCCTAGAATAATGAGAACTAGACTGATTTTTCACAACTGTGCTTACATTCAGGCCCATACAACTAAACAGAGAAGCAAATCCTGCCCACTCTGCTTGCAGTGGCAGTGCATGAAGCCCTCTTCCCTCTGCCTGACCACCCTGAATGGAGACTTGGTGGGTTTGCTCCAGACTAAAGCAGCGTGAAAGCCAGGTATTAAAATTGGCTTTATCTACACTGATTTTTCACAAGTGTGCTTACATTCAGGCCCATACAACTAAACAGAGAAGCAAATCCTGCCCACTCTGCCACTTGCTTGCAGTGGCAGTGCATGAAGCCCTCTTCCCTCTGCCTGACCACCCTGAATGGAGACTTGGTGGGTTTGCTCCAGACTAAAGCAGCGTGAAAGCCAGGTATTAAAATATTGCAAATAATATTGAAAATGAAGGAGTTTGAATGAGTGTGTTAGCTGAGCTCTGGTGTCATGTTATGTCCATGGAGATTGCTTCATACCTATTAGCCAGCTGCATACTTGCACAGAAAAATCTGTTCAGCCATTTAGGTGAATGGTGTGGAATGTGTCCCAGTGGACACCTGTCTTTTACTTCAGATGATTTCAGATGAACAAGAGATCAGCTCATCCAAGCTCACACTGACAGGCTGGGTAAAATCCAATGCAAAGAAAACAAATTGAGAACTTTCCAGGTTTTTAGAGTGGCCAATCAGCAGTACTCAGCCAGCTACTCTTCACAGGCTGACTGTGTATTTCCTGAGGTTATGCTGCATTGCAGATTTATTTATCTCTTTAAAGACCATGGGTCTCTTCTTGCCTTCCCTTATGTACTTCCTTCTCCCACTACATGGATTTTGAGAAGGTTGCATTTTGATTGGTTTTAACAATAAAGCAATATTTATGAGAGTTTTCTCCCCAGATTTAGGGAAAAGCTGCCAAACCAGCCACCTCTCTAGACTGCATTTCAGATCACATTCAGATTTGCATACACCCCTTCAAACAGGATCTCCTTTCCAACTATCAGAATTTGGCATTGGAATTTGGCAACAGCCCAAAATAGCACAGGAAGTGTGTGACACAAGTAGAAAGCAAACAGATATTATGAGGAATGAAATGAACACCTGCTGACAGTCCACATACATTCATGGCTGTTAATCCTGGCAATACGATGGCCTACAACAGACTTTCTCCCAACAATGTTATCAGAGCTATTATGCCCATTTAAAGCATTTCACTAACCTGTTCCTGTTGGCAAAGCTGCTGCTTGGCTGGGATCTGGAGAAGGGCACATGATTCCTGACTCTGTCAGAACTGCTGGGCTTTCGTAATCTTCAAAATAACATGAGTAAAATTCTTCCTCACGCAGAGAAGGTAAGTCCGAGATGGCCAAGAATATCTGTCAGTTCAATAATAGCCAGTAAATAATTTGCTTTCATTTAATATAATTTGTTGGTTCTGTTTTTTTCAAGAATCCCATAAAGTAATTATCTACAAAAATGCTCATTTTCCTATAATGTCTCCTAGGACTGACTATTCCATTCATCATCTCTTGCCATTCCTGAACTGAACTTGGCATCCCTCCAGCAACTGATAACTTCCCCCACTGCTCAAGCCTCTAGCAAAAGACAGGTTCTTGCCACCTCCTGACACAATGACAGACTTCAAATCACTCCAGCACCTTCTTAGCTTTTCTGCCAGCTATCACAGACAGGAGCTGTAATTTTGGGCCACTCCTTTCAGGCCTTCCTGACAGCAAGTGACAGAAACGCTGAAAGCATAGACACAGGCACCTTACAGATACTAAAACAAGGAGGGTCCCCATCCAAGCAGGCATCACATACTCCAGAATTTAGCAGGCAAGGACATTTAGTTTCAGAGAAAACAACGAAACAACCAAACAAGTGAATTAACAGCTTGGCTGTACCAGGAGATAAGTGAGGCAGACAACATGCCTGAAGGTTCAGTGTTTCAGCACCCCAGTGAAAGCAACAGAAAGACTTGTGACTCCTCAGTTTGCAGAGAACTTTCTGTAAGCTTAAGCACCATCAGAGGATCACCCCCACTCACATTTCTCTTTTCCTCTCTGCTGATATTGGCTGGAGTTAGTGACTGGACAGACAGACACTGCTGAGTGGAGTTAAAGCTCCAGAGCCACTGCTCACTCAGCCGGGACCGCAAGCACTCGGAGCGACGGCTGCACCTGCAGGGAAACAGCAAGAAGCCCTGTGAGACCTGAGCAGCAGTTTGTGTTTGGCCTCCAAGCAGACACTGGCTGTCTCAAGCCTTGCTAGAGTCTTGGGGAAGCTGCTGCACAAGCCACTGAAGTCCCAGCCCCCCACCACCTTCAATAACAGGATGAACTGTTGTGAAATTATGGATGGTAAGCACTTCTTGGGCTTCAGGGTCATGAACTAATTCCTGTGACTTTCTACAGGGAGGCAGAGCCAGCAGGCAGACACAGACACTGGAATAAACCACATCTCATTAAGCAACATCAGTAGGGGAACAAGTAGTAAACGAGTGCTAAATAAGACACCAGAAGAAGAGACAAGATAGTTTCTCTAAACTTGCAATGTGGCAGTTTGAGCTGAAGTCAGACTAAAACCAGGCTGAATCTAATGAACAATGTGAATTGTGAGTGGTGCCAAAGACCCAAAAAGCAATGGAAAGATGCCCCCGTGTGCAACTGCTATTGCTGCTGGCAGTGTTTTGGGGAAGCAGAGAGAGGAATGGTAAGTTAGAGCAAATATCCCATACAGGAACTAAAAATAAACAAAATCTAGACACAGATATAAGGAAGAGAGTAAGCAGAGACAATCCCTAGGCACTCTCCCTCCAAAATCCTTACAGGTGAAGAGGGATCTATCTTACCTTCCCTGAAGGACACACCAGCCACAGTAGGGATCTTTCAGTGCCAGACAGGATTCACAGTCCAAGTATAGGGAACATTCCATTATGGGAACCTTTACTACCTGTCAAGAGAAAAAAATGAAAAGTGAAAAACACAGCACACAGCTCCCAGGTCACTGGCTAATTAGCAAGTCCCATCATCCTCATGCTCATCAAAACAACTTTTTGATCCTAAATTTATCCTCCCTTAAAGACAAATAAAATGGGAACAAGTTTCCAGAGCCCATTTGAATGGCAATTTCACATATTGTTGAAGGACACCTAAACACCAAGCTGTAGAGGAGCACTGAGGAAAGCAAATTGTATTGTTATTCATTGGTTATTCTGCAACACATTTTGCAAGCAGGAAATTGTATTTAGTCATAAAACTGCATTTTAACAAAGTGAATTATAGAATAGCCAACTGAATATCATCCACTCTTTTGCTTTTCTGGACTCTGTCCTGACACACAAGTGATTGAAGCTGGAGACAGCAGCTACAGCTGAGGCCTCTGACTCCATCTGCACTATTGCCCAGCTCTACCTGGCAAAACTATCATTTTGACTGAAAATAGACCTTGAAGCTTTGATCAGTGTGGAATAAAAACTTTCTGCCACCTCAGGGTAAATTTTACTTGCAAAATTCTTCTGCTTCAACTTACCACCCTTGCTGATTTCAGCCTCTTGCCCTCTTTAATCTGCTACTACACTTCAGCTACTACTGTCAGCTACTTTGAAATACCAACTTCTAATCCCAGACCTATTACTTTTGCTAAGTACATGATGTAATTTGCATATTTTAATTGGCAGAACAACTACTGTTAAGGATATATTTCAGATTTCCCTAATCTTCTTCCACTCACAGATTTCAACTCCTGCTTTGAAGTGTTACAAATTTTACAAGTATCTCAAAGTGCACTGGGGGAGTAAAGGGAAGCAGTGGTTCTCATTTTTTGTTTATTCTTTCCTTCAGAGTAACTCAAGGACTGCTTTTCCTTTGCTAGGAGAATCCTTTTTTTTTTCCAGTTCAAGGAGCTGATATGAGTGGTGGTAAAAATCCTCTCAAATAAAGTATCCATAGCTGGATTTCCTACTCAGCAGACACCAATATCCCAAAAGCCTGAGGCATTGCAATGCCTCTTCTCCTTCACCTGCCTCTAGGCACAAAGAGAATTACAGAAATCAGGGGTAAAGAGAAAGTTGCTTTACATGGGTCCTTCTACAGCCTGATTTCATCTGCAAGACTGTTATTATATCCCTGGTCAGAGAACACCTCTGCTATCTGAAGACATTTTCCACACATTTCTGCTTTTTCTAGGTTACAGAACAACAGCTTGATCTTTTAACTGATTAAAACCAGAAGAGCTACACTTTAATGACACAAAATCTCTCTTTTCTCTTTTTTAACTCCTGAAAACAAAGATGGGTCACATGTGAACCCAGAGGCTTTCTTCTGCTCAAATGGAGATGCAAACTGTAATCCAAACAACTCCTGCTCAACACAGCAGAATCCAGGAATTGGTGGTCCCTTGTATTCATGCCAGCAGAGCAGCTTTTTACAGACTGCAGTTCACATTCCTCCATCACTGCTGATACAGCCTGACAGACTTCAGAAAATGCACACACAAACAAGCCACAGATTAGGCTAAAAAGCTTTCTCCATGCTTCCTCCAGCTTTTGGGAAAGGTCAGTCCCCATTCCTGTAAGAAGACTGGCAGGCAGCTGCTGCTCAGCACAGGCTTAGCCAGGTGCAGTTTCCCTGCCTCCCCTGCTCCAGTCAGCAGTTTGTCTGGACAACTAGTGTTTTCAGCTCCTCTGTGGAAAGGATTGTATTGCTCTTACCATTGACTGGGTCATGACAAAGAGGTGCTCCTGAAACTGGTCGAACAGCAGGTCTCCACTCACCCTGCTGTTCACCTGGATAGATACTGAAGCATAGGTGTGTGCCTCTCCCTGGGCTCCCAAGTACACCTGCAAGAGAGCCACAGTCGTGAGCAGGCAAAGCACCACCACAGGAGCTGGGGGCACATGTGCTACAACAGAAACAAACTGGAACTGCTGCTGTGTGCAAGGGTTTTAACCTCCCACCAGAACTCTGTGCAGTGACTTCAGCCATGTGAAGCACGTGCCCAGAAACACCTGTGCAAACCATGTAGGATGCACCAGCCCTGCTGCTGGCTCAGTGCAGATGTAACCAAAGGCAATGTGACCACATTTGGGGCATTCGCATTTTTCACAGACAGTACAGGGTGAGAAGAGACCATCTGATAGTAACCATCTTTAGTAGGAACCCAACTTTCCCAGGAAAATTAATACCTGCCCTTTTCCTCTTCTACCTGAGCATTCCTGGCTAGTTTTATCCTTTTTGCTGTGTGCAGATCATACCTTGTGCAGCCTTCCTCTGCTGTCCCCCAGAAAAGCAATGGTGTGGCCATCTTCCACATTCACTGCCACAGCTGTCAGACGGGCGTCAGTTTTCTCCAGGAGAGGGGCTGCTTCCAAGGGCACCCGGCTGGCCATAGGGCTGGGAGTGTGGTCAGAGCCACAGGGATAGGCATACAGGGTGTCCTTTTTGGAGGAGTGAAAAGAACAGGGAAATCAGCACAAAAAAATTGGGTACAAATAACGTTAGGACATTTAATACTTCCCACCATCCCCCTACTACCCAAATTCTCCAGCAGTGAATTCAGCTTTAACCCCTCTAAGCTTTTTTATTGAGGGCAAAACCACCCATATTTTAATAATCAGTTTAGGTATGTTGACTGTCTGCACCCTCACAGAATCCTGCAGACATTTCAGCCAGTTCATTCAGCATCAGTAATGAAAGCATTGAAACTCCCTCAAGTTCTCAAAAAAACATTTGTTACACACTGCCATGATACTGCTTTGGGGAAGATTGTGTTTTTCTGAACAAAGGAAAAAGTAGAGAATTTCCGTTTCCAGTGCAAAGCCACCTTGAGACAAGTTCCATCTCAAGCAATTTGCCCGGTTTTGCTGTAACACCTACAAGTTAAATTCTGAGACTGAAGTAGAATCAGGACTCACATAAACACAGGATGGGACACAACCTGCTCCAAAGAGCTCACTAACTGCACTTAGGAATCAGAGAGCACATACAAGAGACATCATTGCACACAGCTTCAATCTTTCCAAGTCTTGTGAGAGTTCTGAACATTAACTCCACTGCTCTGTGCAGAAACAGTCATTCTTCTGTTCCAGTAAATTCCCTCCCAGTGCCACCAAACCTTCACTTACTGCATTCTAAAGAAGCACAACGAAAGCTGCAAACTTATTTACTATTTGTTGTGTGCAGAGAAAAGATATCCCATTATGATTCATCTTTTTCCTAAGCAACAAACTCAGTCTTGTCTAGGATAGTTCCTCTGTTGCTTTATATCTTTGTTGGTGCCTTGTTCCATGTCCATTTCAATTTTACAGTATCCTTTTGGAGACTGAATGCAGGATTGTTCACCCAACAATTAGTATCTAAACCACCATTTTTTAATTGATCAGTGTCTTGTCTTCAAACAATGTGGCTTGTGTAAATTCAAGATTTTCATCACGAAATCCCTTATGGATAATGTTTTCACTCTCCTCTCCAGCCCCTCACTAATTACTCTGACAAAGCAGAGCGTGGAGCAGCACATTAACTGTGCAGTCCATACTGACTCCAGCTCTCTCTCTTGCCTCAGGCAACGTGGTTCAATTTAGACTCCTTGTGAGCAGAGTTACATATTCCTTCTGTCTGATGTCTGTGGCTTTGCATTTGGCAGCTCAGGCTGCTCGGTACCAACCGGCACCAGGCAACGGAGCTGCCCCTGTCAGAGATCCATGATAACAGCACATCATGGCATTCCTGAGCTGTCTGCTTATCTCCACTCACTGATCCCAGGGAAAACCTGGCCATTTCTCCCCTCTCCTCCCATTTCTACCTTTTTTCCTTCCTTTTTTTGTGGTTTGTGTTGTTGGCTTTGTTTGTTTTTTAAATACTTGACTGCTTCCTGGAGAAACCAGAAGCAATCGGCAGCTTTTGGTAAGGTCTGTGGAAATCCCACTTGAAAATATATTTAACCTGTTCAGCTCTGTTCCCTTCTCAAATGCATTGTTATCTTTGCAGGGAAGCAAGGCTTTACACAGCAGTCCTATTAACAAGCCATGCCAGTTAGACTAGCACTGCCTTCACTCCAGGGCCTTATTGTTTTCCTTTCAAATACTAATTCAATGATTTTTCTCCACACTTGGTATAAGGCTCTGACAAAGTCTGAGGGGTTATAGCTTTTAATGATTGCTAGTTTTCACCATCCTCTAAACTATCATTCATTTTTAGTGGTATACATTTTTTTAACACCTGTCATTTGATTTTTAAGCTTCTTCCAATAGAGTTCTTGCAACTTAAAGGTTCCTATTTCTCCAGCTATCCAATTCCTGTAAGATTTATTAGGAAGCAGACCACCGCCAAAATTCCATGCTCCAAAGCATTAAGTGCTTATTTTGAATGGGATTCTAAATATCTTTTGCAACCTTTGTACAATTTCTGGAGACTAATGGCCTCATTACTGGCTGATTTTTCAAAGACTGCTTAAAAAATGTCCACATACAAGTCAGAAATATTTGTAAGCCAGTCATGCTCAGCACTGCTGTTGCCTTTATGTGATGCCAAGGGCAAGTCACCTGACACACAACATTTATCTACCATAAACCAACATGACCTGTGCAAGCTCTCCCAGCACTGGCACAGCCCAGCCCTGGCCTCACAGGGGTTGTCTGTATAAAGTACTTATATAAATTTACATGGAAGCTGTTTGAATTGCTTGCAATGAATAACATCTTGGCAACGTTGCAGAAAATGCACTTGAGGAATCATCCAGTATCTTAATGAAATGCAGCAGCTGCTGCTGTGAATTCTTCTGTGTGTATCCTATCTGCACAGGTAGGAAACAATAGGGCAAGCTATATCTAGGCATGAAGAGCCTAAAAACCAAAGGGCAAGATACATGCCTTGAAAACTACACCCACAGATGACATGCAGCCTTCCCAAGCCTTGTAGAAACATTTCACACTTCCAATTTATCAAGTCACTAAACAGCATCCACACAGCCTCCTGCATATTGTAACCAATGAATCGCCAGCAAACTGAACAAATATACTGGAGCTGAAATTCTTAGGAAAACAAACTGTTTTTTTTTTTTTTTTTTCCCCCCAGTTCAAGAGATTGTATTGAACTGTAAAACTCAATTTTAGTCTCCCTTTTTAGGCTGAAATCCAGAGGCAGGACTAACTAAGGAAAAGGGCATACCTTACGCACTAGTAGGTTTGGAGGCAGAAAAATATGAAATTAATTAGCATTATCCTTACATCCAGCACAAGCTGCCACCATTGAAAACAAGTTAAAACTGTTCCTGCATAAAACGTCCATTGACAGCCACTTCCACGCAGCCCTGAGTGGAGCAGGCTGGAGCTGGCACAGACCTTTACATGATGTTAGATACAATTTGAGCGACAACCGCTACCGTGTGCTGAATGGTGAAGGATCAGGTTCGTTAGGATATTTACATATCATTGGACACACTTGTTAATAAGACATCACACTCTGGTCAGCCCACTCAAGCCAAACCATCCAGCTGGGACCCTGGGATCACGCACCAGGAATCACAGACAGACTGCCTTTTCCTCCCACCCTGTGCATCCACTTCTCCATTGGATCAAATGGTGTAAGGGTACTCTGCATCATTTTGAATGAAAAATTCATCTGCTCATACCTGTTCAACATTTAACTCCGTTAAGCTTCCCTAAAAATCACTTGTAATAAGTCATTCCATGTGGCCTTTCAAAGGACTCACAGGACATGCTTAAGAAATACAGTGAAAGCGGGACAACAAGCTGGGCAGTCTCTTTCTTCCCAACTCTTCCTACCCTCACACTCATCCTGCTCCAAGTGTGCTCTTTACCCTTCCCTTGTCCCACAAGCACTCTACAGTCAGCTTTAACTACTGAAAGGAAAACCATAATTTTAAGACTGGTTTTGAGCCACACACCCAACCCCAGAAACTTCTAAAGCTCTGTGGTAACACTTTGCTCTTTGCAGCAACAGGCTGGGAAGAGGCAATTCTCTGGACAGTCTGTTCTGTAGAGGGAAGATAAAAGATAACCTACTGCTCTGCTAAGGACCTGAAATACCCTTGGTGCACATAGTCACAGAGCCTCATGCTAGGACACTGCATCCAGGAGAGCACTGCGGCCCTGTGTTTGAATCACTGTCCCTGATTTTGCAGCCAGTGTAGCTGCCAGATGGAGAGAATTCAGGGTCACAGCCACTTTAGGTCACATTTTCATCCTGCAACACCCCATCATGCTTTTGTCACTGAACTTAAAGGATTACCACCTCATGCAGCTCTGGAGAAAAAGAGCCAGCTCAGGAGAAGGTCCTTCTTGTGCCCAAAGTCTGCAGGACTAAAGCAGTCTATAGGAAATTGGGATTTTCACAGAATCACAGAATTATTAAGATTGGAAGGGACCTCTGGAGACCATCTAGTCCAACCCCTCTGCCAAAGCAGGGTGACTTAAAATCTGTTACACAGGAGTGCATCTAGGAGGGTTTTCAACATCTCTTTGTTGACACTTGGTTTGCTAACAATGTTCCTTTTTGTTCCCAAGTGTTCTTGCAGGAATCTGTTGTGAGGTGCACTTCACTATAAGCAACAGGGACCCAGCACACCCCTTAAATTCCCTTCCCAACACACAGGAGCACATACACATGCCCCTCTCCTTCCCTGCAGTGCAGACCACGAGATGACACAGATAAAGAATGACTTGAACAGCAGCTTCAGTGCTCTTGCCTGGTATTGCCACAAGACAGGCCTCAGGGCCAGGTCACACCAGATGCTCTTCCCACTGCCACATACAGATCCTCTCCCTCTGCAAGGACTCCTGCCCATGTGGGGCACAACAGACTGAGCCCAAAGGCTTCTAACCCAGATTTCAACATCCATCTGTGTAAGCAAGACAACTTCAGGAACACAGAGCAACACAAGAACACGCAGCAGACTGCTCAAAAGTACAAAGCCACTTACCGCTGGCAGCTGGACACAGTTGGAACTGACATCATATTCAATATATGCCACTTCTGTCCCTTCCTCTGACTTCCCATCTCTCATGTAGCAAACATCCCTAGTCCAGTTGGTCAGGCGATCCACCTCCTCCATTGTGTAGACACAGAGCGCAGACTCCTCGCTCAGTTTCCCAGAGGAAGCCTGCCAGGCAGAGAAAGCTGCAAACAGCACTTCCCCCTCGGTGTCCAGCTGCCCCTGGGCCAGCTCCTTTCCCGGCCGGGTGACATAGGCTGCCTGCAGGAGGCTGTATGTGTTGGCTTTGCTCCGGCAGAGCAGGGGTAACTCCACGTACGAGTAATAGTGGGAGTCATCCAGGCAGATGCGCGAAATGTAGGTCTTGTACTCACGCGACTGGGATTTGAGGTCCCGCCGGTAGAAGAGGAAATAGACACTGGAGTGGTAAGTGAAGGATTTAATGAAATGGTGGTTGTACTCTGACAGCCGGCCCACAGCCAGTTTTGCTGTTTCTTCATAGGAGAAAATGGAGTGAGAGTCTGTTGCTTGAACATCCCCTCCGTGGGCCCTGAGATTCCGGGTCGTGATGGGAGGAATTCCTCCTCCCACTCCTCGGCTGGTGTACCCTCGTCCCACAAACAGCAAGGGCACCTCATCCTTGGAGTAGGCGATGAGTCCCACAGTGGTGATATTGGGATCGTTGGCAGCCACGTACTGAGTGTCACCAGGGCTCTCTGGCCTGAAGAGGACGTGGTCGATGGACTCCAGGCTCCTCTTCTCACAGATCCCCTGGTGGACACTGCCACACACGATGAGCTCCTTCTGCACAGTGTTCACCAGCAGCAGCTTGTTGTGATTGTCAGTGTGGTGTGCCTGAGGGCACTCCAGCTTTGAGACCGGCGGGAGGCAATCCTTACTGTCCAGAACTGGCCCAGTCTGAACCATGTTCTCCAACAGCAGGTCGGATGACAGCTGAAAGAGAAAGTTGGTGGCCCCCAAGTAAATGGTCCCAGATTCCAAGTCCATGGACAGGTGGAGGAATTTTGTAGCATTGTGTGAGAACGTGACATACTGCAGTCCCCGTGGAATTGATGCTCCCAAGAAACAGAGAACAGGAAGGAAGAACGTTCCCAGAGGCATGGTAAACACTCTGCAAGAGAGGAAAGGCTGTTATAACTCCTTGGAGCCAGAAGTAAAGATTTATACTCAAAAATCCTTCAATAGCACCCACAGCAAGAGGCCTTCAGGAGAATCAGAGATTTAATTCAGTCAGCTCCACATCAAGATGACAGGCACAGCATCCTCAGGAGAAGCTGCATTAGTGCAAGTAAATGCAACACTGAAGCTGATCACTACTCTTGTAACATCAGAAAAAATCCACATTTAACTTGACTCCTGCACAGCTGAGCTACGATGCTGTATTGGAAGTTTTCCAGGACAGCACCAAATTTCCATAGGAGCCAGCATGTTGCATATGGTGTTAATGAGCAACACCACAGTAAAACAAACCACTGTCTAAGACAAACACAACCTGCAGGACCATTGCTTAAATAAACTGTGGCTGAGATCCAAACTGGAGCAAACTTATAAGCCCTTTGCTCTGTATTTGATCTAGATATCATAATTAAACCCTCTCTTTGTTAGCACTTATGGCTATCAACAGTCTCTTGTGGATCTAAAGCTGTTCCACTTGGGCTTCAAAAGAAACCTTCCCATGTCATCTCTGCCACTGAGCATCACTCACCCAAGCAGAACCTGGGTGCCAGGATTAAGCCTCTGGAATATCAGTCACATCAGCTCCTAGCCTCCCCTCTGGGGCTGTCAGTCTGCCCCAGACCTGCCAAGCCAGACCCTGTGGGACCCCATCTTCTTGGGAAGTTACACAGCACACCAGGTGAGGGAGAGATCACCTTTACCTGTTCACCTGTTACTGCACTCTCTGGGGTAGAAGTCTCTTACTGGCGCTCATTTCTCCACAGCACTTCTCCCAGTACTGTGAAAGGTGATTCAAACATGCCTTTTCTATGGACAATGCTCCATTCCTTCCCATGTCTCAATGCGCAAGCAAGTCCACATAGGGTGGATGTTGGGGCAGACCCAGGGAACCACCAGACCTGTTCAGCTCCTCTCCAGAGGATATTTAGACCAACTCCTTTTGAAACCTACTGTGATCCACTCAAGCCATGCCACGGATGGCAACAACTGCTCTGGACAAGATGGGGAACCCCACAGCCTGGTGGAAATGTGGTAATAAGTACCTGCAACATTTAGATTAACACTTTCCCCATGGAGAAAGGGAAACAGCTGCAACTACTCAATAATTTACTATGAGTACCACCTCATTTAAATTGAGAAGTAGGTGGTGATGCAGCTGTGAATCTATTTCCTTCCACCCCTCCCTCCCTCTTGCAGACCGGGTATCAAAGCTGCACAGAGCTACACAGCTGCCAAGCTGGGTCAGAGGCTCCGTGGAGCTGATGAGTACAGTATCTCCTCCAGAACTGCCCTGTAATCTGCTCTGCTCATTTTGGCAACTCAGCTCCTCAGGGGTGATATTATTTTGTAGTTAAAGTTAAGAAAACTATCATCACTTCCCTCCTAGGGCATCAGCCCCCTTGGGTCTTCCTGGTAAGCTCAAAGTGCTTTTAGCTCAGAAGTGCTTAAAGCATAGAGGTAGAAAAAGACCTGCAGCATTTAAAGAATAAACTACTCCAGCATTTACTTCAGGACTTAACCCATTTAGGCCACAAACTTCTCAGCCCATAAACTGTGTCTTACACTCATTCTATACAATGCCCAGCACACAATGTGCAGAAAAAACAGTAGCAATACTGAGAACAATAGCTGTAAGACTCTAGATCCATCTTCTGCTCCCCTGCTATGGCAAAAAAACCCCACAGAAGTCTGCTTTCCGGCTCCTTTGTCAGTAAAACTGGCATCTTTGCTCTACCTAAAGACCAGTTGAGAGGATTAGTTTACTTGTGAAATCCAGCGGATGGAAGGTATTATAAAAACAACACTTTATTAAATATAGGCTTTGTGAAGCTCTGGAAAAGTTCCACTTCACACGGTTCTTGTAGGTAAGTAGGCAGCACTGTCAGGATATGCCCAGGCACAGGAATGCTGGCTCTGGGCTGGCAGCTTTCCCCCAGAGCACACAGCCACTGATTCACACCGCACCAGCGCCGTGTTTAGGCTACGTGCACACTGGGGCTTTTGTTTGCCCTGATAATGGACACTTAGTGCTTTCTGCTTCAGAGCTATGAACACACTCTGCTTCACCCAGACTGGCAAACAGCCCTGAACTACCCTAGGAGTCTCTTTTTCCAGAGTGGTAAGTGAGTACATTGTGGCACCTGAGAGAAACCCTCATCGTTTTGAAGACGTTATGTGAGAAAACCCAGCAAGGAGATACACACAGACTGAAGGAAGGAGATCTAATTTGACTCTATCCCCTCAGGTTTAGATCAGCAGAAAAGATCTTGCTCCAACTCCAACATGTCAGTTATTTTTAATGCTTTTTTCATAATTTCTGTTGGAGAGAACTTGATTTAAGGAACCCTTAACCACACAACTGTCTCTGTACCTCTGCACTGCCATCACGCAGATGTCATGATGGCTTGTTGTGCGACTGTCTGGAGTCTCCTCAGTTTCAAAGCTGAAAATGCCTGCAAACAAAACAATGGGCTGATGGCCATCCAACAGCAGGAGCTTGACTATGTTATGAACAGCAACAATGACATGGAGAAGAGAATCTTTGATCTGGAAGCAGCTGAGAATCACAAGACATCATTATAACTACACCACTCTGAGGAATCTGTAATCTTCTTTTGAGCTAATGCAACCTTCCTCTGCCAGCACTTACAAAGTAAAATCGGCATGTGTCTCCAGGATTTATGGATTCTGAAACAGTGGCTTTCTGGCTAGAGGTTATGCTTACAAGCTGCACAACTCTGCTCTGTGTCCCACAGAGCTCCACTGGCAACCACCAGGGCAGAACTAACCAGTACTTCAACTCACATGACACTACTCCAGCAAAATGGATCTTGTTACAAGCTCATCGATCTGTATTTGAACCTACCCCAAATGTTTCACTGAAAGCATTTTACCTATTGGAGCAACTCTACTGGAAAGAGGTTGGAAAATCAATTAGTCCTTCATTCCAGCAGACCATAATCAGATGTTGCTGTGGTCAAGGCTCTAACATATAGATACTCTTCTTTCAGTCACTAATATCCCCCTTGAAGTCACTTTGTGAAGAGCTAGTCCTTAAAAGTGATTCAGATAAGAAACTACTGTCTGGTCCTCATGACTCTGTGAGAACAGAGAAAACAAAACAGAATGGTAGCACAGCATGTTCTGCAGGCTGGTTCTAATCACCCTGCACAATGGATAAACACTGAATATAGTGCTCTTTGTTGCTCTTTGCTACAGATCCATTAGCAAATGAACTTGTATTTATTGCTAGGTGAGCAAACATACATTAGAAATGAGCATGATTGTGTAGCTATCAGTAGCTAGAAGCATTTGCACCATACATGAGAATAGAGAGGGGAAAAAAGCCAGCAGTGTGTTTTGATTCCATTTTCCAAGTTGTTTCTCAAGCACAGGCATCACTGCCTTTTTTATGCTTGCCTTTCAGTTAAGCCCATGACAACCTCTCCGGGAGGACAGGAAGGAGGAGGATAACCTACATTTAAATCTGATGGTTTCATGACAGGCTACACTACAGAGCTCTTTATGGATTTACTGAACCGTTCTGCTTCCTGTGCTCACTGCTAGTGTATAACACAGCTGTTGCAGACAGATTGCACTAAAAGTGTGTAGCCTTTAATTAATTCTGAGTGCAATTGCCAAGCTTTAAAGATTCATTTTAAACATTCCATTTTTTTGATGAATTCCCGTTAAATAGGAAAATGTTCCAGACAATACTCTGAACATTGCCTCTAACTCACTCTAAAATATTAATATCCAAATAATACTGCTGAGTTTCATTTATTTAATCTGGATCACAACAGAAGGGCTGGAGGATTAGTCAGTTCTGCCACAGAATATTTATATCACAGCCATGTAACAACAACCAGTAACATTAAAGCAATGGCACTATTGTGTTACTTAAAATTTGAAGTAAGACCGTGTTTTCTGTAGCACTATTTTTACCTCCCTGACCTCACGTATCCCTCTGAGAAACTTTGCTTATTTAATAAAGAAACAAACCCAGAACTCATCTGGGCACATTTTAACAGCGTATCAACACATAGAGATTATTCCAATCCTCCCAGATTATTTCCCTAATACCACATTCTATCCTCCAAACATAGAGAGGTCAGTTAATGTTCCAACTTCTAGCTGGATTTCATACTTACCACCAAACCCAGCAAAATTAGCCTTGGAAAAAAAAATAGGTCTCTGAAATCTGCACCTGCAATTTCCACCTTATCATTTGCAGAGCCAACCCACAGTGTGAGCACTAAAAGATTTAAAAATTAAAAGCACCCTTCTTCCAGCTGCACGACGACCCTTGTGCTCCAGCACATTCAAATGGGCCAGCAGCAGGAAGACGACCACTGCTCTGTTTTCTGCACAAAAGCCCTGAATTATAGCCCCCTTCTAAGCTTCATATGCTCAACAGAGACTTGCTGTTTTCTGCTGTGAAAGATGGCATTCCCATTAAATAAATACATCTCCTTTGAGTCCTATTTACTACTACCAGGCCAGTTCCCTGCTCTGTTGTTTAAGAAGACTTGCACCAAAAAGCTTTGGCAAAGACGAACACAAAATACTGTTTTCCAAGTAAAATTGACCCCAAGGAGAATCCTAAGTTCAAGCAATCCTGTCAGAGCAGGACTGGCACAGACAAGAGAGCTCTGTTATACCAGATGTGAACAACACCAAAGCTGAGGTCAAAATAACTTATAAAAAAATCCCAAACCCTTAAAGAGAGTATCAAATATGAAATGGCAAGGTGCAGAAATTCTGTACTACAGAATTAACAGCATTCTTAGATAAATACTTGGGAAAATTATGTTTTCTAAACCTTTGATAGTTATTGCTGAACATTACAAGGTACCTTTCTGGATGGTGATTAAAGTTTTACTGAAAGACTCTCACAAAATATTGTCAACTATGTGATACTTCAATAATGCTCAT